GATGATTACACTGACAGCGTGTAGGGTTAATTCTGAATGATGATTACACTGACAGCGTGTAGGGTTAATTCTGAATGATGATTACACTGACATCATGTAGGGTTAATTCTGAATGATGATTACACAGACATCATGTAGGGTTAATTCTGAATGATGATTACACAGACTTCATGTAGGGTTAATTCTGAAGTTCATTACACTGACTGAAGTATGATTACACAGACATCATGTAGGGTTAATTCTGAACAATGATTACACTGACATCATGTAGGGTTAATTCTGAATGATGATTACACTGACAGCGTGTAGGGTTAATTCTGAATGATGATTACACTGACAGCGTGTAGGGTTAATTCTGAATGATGATTACACAGACATCATGTAGGGTTAATTCTGAATGATGATTACACTGACATCATGTAGGGTTAATTCTGAATGATGATTACACAGTAGGGTTAATTCTGAATGATGATTACACAGACATCATGTAGGGTTAATTCTGAATGATGATTACACAGACATCATGTAGGGTTAATTCTGAATGATGATTACACTGACATCATGTAGGGTTAATTCTGAATGATGATTACACAGACATCATGTAGGGTTAATTCTGAATGATGATTACACTGACATCATGTAGGGTTAATTCTGAATGATGATTACACAGACATCATGTAGGGTTAATTCTGAATGATGATTACACAGACATCATGTAGGGTTAATTCTGAATGATGATTACACTGACAGCGTGTAGGGTTAATTCTGAATGATGATTACACTGACAGCGTGTAGGGTTAATTCTGAATGATGATTACACTGACAGCGTGTAGGGTTAATCCTGGACAATGATTACACTGACATCATGTAGGGTTAATTATGAATGATGATTACACTGACATCATGTAGGGTTAATTCTGAATGATGATTACACTGACATCATGTAGGGTTAATTCTGAATGATGATTACACTGACATCATGTAGGGTTAATTCTGAATGATGATTACACAGACATCATGTAGGGTTAATTCTGAATGATGATTACACTGACATCATGTAGGGTTAATTCTGAATGATGATTACACAGACATCATGTAGGGTTAATTCTGAAGGATGATTACACTGACATCATGTAGGGTTAATCCAGGACAATGATTACACTGACATCATGTAGGGTTAATTCTGAATGATGATTACACTGACAGCGTGTAGGGTTAATTCTGAATGATGATTACACTGACATCATGTAGGGTTAATTCTGAATGATGATTACACAGACATCATGTAGGGTTAATTCTGAATGATGATTACACAGACATCATGTAGGGTTAATTCTGAATGATGATTACACTGACATCATGTAGGGATAATTCTGAATGATGATTACACTGACAGCGTGTAGGGTTAATTCTGAAGTATGATTACACAGACATCATGTAGGGTTAATTCTGAAGGATGATTACACTGACATCATGTAGGGTTAATTCTGAATGATGATTACACTGACATCATGTAGGGTTAATTCTGAATGATGATTACACTGACAGCGTGTAGGGTTAATTCTGAATGATGATTACACTGACAGCGTGTAGGGTTAATTCTGAATGATGATTACACTGACAGCGTGTAGGGTTAATTCTGAATGATGATTACACTGACATCATGTAGGGTTAATTCTGAATGATGATTACACTGACATCATGTAGGGTTAATTCTGAATGATGATTACAATGACAGCGTGTAGGGTTAATTCTGAAGTATGATTACACAGACATCATGTAGGGTTAATTCTGAAGGATGATTACACTGACATCATGTAGGGTTAATTCTGAAGTATGATTACACAGACATCATGTAGGGTTAATTCTGAACAATGATTACACTGACATCATGTAGGGATAATTCTGAACAATGATTACACTGACATCATGTAGGGATAATTCTGAAGGATGATTACACTGACAGCGTGTAGGGATAATTCTGAATGATGATTACACTGACAGCGTGTAGGGTTAATTCTGAAGTATGATTACACAGACATCATGTAGGGTTAATTCTGAATGATGATTACACTGACAGCGTGTAGGGTTATTCTGAATGAAGATTACACTGACAGCGTGTAGGGTTAATTCTGAAGTATGATTACACTGACATCATGTAGGGTTAATTCTGAATGATGATTACACTGACAGCGTGTAGGGTTATTCTGAATGAAGATTACACTGACAGCGTGTAGGGTTAATTCTGAAGGATGATTACACTGACAGCGTGTAGGGTTAATCCTTAAATTTTAATTACAATACTATTGAATGTATCAGCAGAGGCAATATCCAAAATCAATTAGAAAGTATACATTCAGACAGTGTTAAAATATGCAAGAACAAAGCATGGTAATTCGGAGGAGAGAATCAGGCCAAACCGGAGTTTAAAGTCACATGATTTGTTTGTATTTTTTCTACGATCGATCCGAGTAACGTGATCGGGGCTGAATTGTAGCCGACGTTAGTATACATTATCCTAATGTGGTGTCTACTATCTATTTGTCATCTTAAGGACTTAAACAAACCCATCCTAGTTCCTCGAAAAGATTGAACAACCTTGTTGATATCATTGCTAATAACAACATCCGGGTAGATACCTAAATAATTTATCTGCCTGCCTGCTTGCCTTCCTACCTGTCTGCCGATTCCTTTTTACTGATAGGCTAACCTAACACTGATATCAAATCCGTAATTGCATATCATACACAAAATAATTGCAAAAGTTAAAAATAAAAAAATGCACGTTTTTATAATCATTACCTATCAGAAGACAGTTTTATTCTCTCTCAAACACATAAAGGTTTTTTTTCTAACAATATTAATCGTTTGGGTATGCCATGAGACATTCCCCATATTATGCCGAGAAAACAAACAGTATCGTACAATTTTTTTTTATTCCTCTAACATTTCTATTATCGTCATTCATGTTATATATATATATATCTGTTTGATACGTTCGGCCCTCGGTAACATGCATGGCTATTTCATTGATGGGAATCTGGCATTTATTTGAGAACGTGACATTACTTTCTGAACATTTCTGACACAAGTTTCTGAGATTGACCGGTATGTGAATGACAGATGTGAAAAAAATGATTACCCTTCCTGAACACGTGATCTTACTCTCCTTCTGTTTTCGAGAATGTCAAATTTCTGCTCATAATCTGCCCACGTTACACCTTTTCTTGTTTGAATCAAAATTTAGCGAACTGTGTGAATTTTGTTTGATTTTTATTTATAAGATTAAAACACAAAACAATATTCAAGAAAACGTAAAATATGGAACCTAATGTACGTTTTGTCACTAAATCATACTTATTCATTTTGACAGCGATGTAATAAGTTAAACAAAAAGAAACTAAAACACTAAACGTATTCGGCAAACTTCCTGATTAATTTTGATAGCAATGTAATAAAATAAAAAACTTCCTGATTAATTTTGATAGCAATGTAAAAAAAAAATAGAAACATTGGCCACCATTGTTATGCCTGTACCTTGACGTTTTGTACAACCGGTCTTCCTATAGAATTTGTTATTTTGTTCGAAACAATAGATACAAGCAATTAATCATTTTTCTAAAAAAATAAAATCTAGAAGTAAAGTTTAAAGAATGGGAATTAGCAAAGACTAAACAGTAGCTATTTCAAACTGAAATCAAAAGTCGTCATAAAGTCGATGGTCAATTAATCACAGTAGAAAAAAAATCAAATAACGTGTCTCTTTATATAACATTTATGATACTCTCGTTTTATTTGTCTGCTTTTTCGCGCCTAAATGTACCTTACGGAAGTGAAACATTGATTGCGAAAACAATTTATTATAAATGATGTACGAAATGGTTTGACATACTAAGTGAAGTGATTAATCAAAAGTGAAATCCATACAGGCGTTGCTTTAGGAAAATAATGTGTTATCAATCGAGTGGAGAGGTCAATATACTAGGGTATCAGTTTTTATCCTATATGGAAAAAAACATGCTTAATTAAATCGATTTTCTTTAAAATACATTGTTGTCTACTATTTTAATCACTTAAACATGATTAAAACGTAGCCGATGTGATCTGATTTTATTCGATTATCATCCAGCGCACTTCGTGCATTTGATTAACAACAGTCTAACTAGTTAAATGTAGTAACTGGTGATTTAAAAGTTAAGGTAAGTTTTCCTCGATCTTAATGATAAATCCACACTTCAAGATTTTTTCAAGTTTGTTAATGTACCTTCAAATAAGGTACCCAAAAGCTTTATCCTTTTCTGCAAACTTTATTATCTTTCCTGTATACATATTGAAGAGCAAGGCTTGCTTAAAACCGAAGGAGACCCTTCCATTACTCCCTCCAGAAAAGAAAGAGAAATAAACAATGGCTAATCACTCGCATTTGTTGTGATTGACTTTTAATGATAATGACACGGACCTCCCCCATTTATATTTGATTAATAAAATCCACATAAACAACGTTTTATTGCTGGTTTGTCTAGCTATCTAACAAAACTTAAAGCTACTAACCATCATTCTAAGCACTATCAAATCTGGGTTACAGTCTTATGGTGATATTGTTTACTCAAGAAGCGGAATTATTAGTATATGGAATTTAAAGACCTCTAATGAGCTTTTGACCATTCTTCTACAATAACAGCAGGCAGACTTTTCTTATACTCAACTTAAATATAGCATTTATACAAACAAGAGCTTTTATGAAATAAGATTAATTTCTGTTATCAATAAAATGCTTACTTAAAAAACATTAACATATTCAACACTGCTTAACTTTGGAGACAGCAATCTGAAACAAACACACGATTTAAGGAATTTACATTAAATATAATGATGTGTCTAAGAATAATTTAAGGTTTATTCATTAAGAGGATCATTACAAAAGCCTTTTTTATATGGTAGTTTTAAACCTGAGTATGATATAACAATTTACACTTTGTCACCACATGTGTTTGTTGTAGCACTGACGATATATCTACTACCGTGGAAGACCGACGCCTCCACATGCTCCAGTCCTGCTATTGAGGCCTACAGTGACTTGGGGATTTTGTGCTACTGGTTGCAGAATGATCCAAAACCAGCTGACAATGCAAGTGCGTCGTGTTCATTGCAAGGTGGCTATCTAGCCGAGATTCCTGACACAACAGTCTTCAACACACTAACATCTCAGCTGTCGGTAAACTACCCAGGGTACGATATAGTCTTCTCATGTATTTAGTCTACAACATTTATCTACAAATGACACTATCTACTTTTGTTTCTGTTCAATATCTGGCGTCCGAGGGACGTCCACACTGACCCAACGAAAGTGTCAAGTGTCTGTGTATATCTAGAGATATTGTCTTATGTTTAATTGTAGTCAATCTCTTGTCAGCAATAATATATAAATTGTGCTTAGTATAGAATGTAGTCCGAAGGGTTCCGAATATCTATGCGCGATTTTATTTGTTCTTGGTTGTGGTCGATAACCAGACTTCCTCCGTACACAAAAACGCTCAATACTAGCATCCCGTGTATGGATCGACGTTTAGTTACGGTTTATACAATTACAACAGTGCTATAGTTATAGATAGTTTATCGATGGAAACATTAAATACCATTGTATAAACTTGCATATATGTCTAAGCAATCAAATGTTGTAAATTAGGTACTTCGACACATTTCTTCACAGAACTTTACTTTCCAATATATAAACAATGGCCACCACTTTGTAGAACCTCTCTAGAGTTGTGACTGTAAACCTACGAAAAAGTAAACGTTCGCGAGATTGGTCGCAATGCAAGATTTCAGCCACCAGTACACGACTCGCTAGAATCCAGACTAGCGACCTCGACAAAAAATAGATAAAATAAAATAAAATCGTCGGTACATCGTCAGAACTCTTCGGACTACGTAGAATGGTAATATAAGGATGTATGTATACTTTAAATGATAAGTATGCATAACATACAAGTTTACTGGCGGAATTATTTGTCTGAAGCTTGTGACCATTGTCACTTTTTATTAAAAAAACTGTTCTCTTATATTCATTTATGCCCACGAATAGTCACATTCAAGTACAGATATCAACAATATTGCAGACTAGCTGTCGGTGAAATGCTTCACTTGGGATATTTGATGAAAACGGCTACTAACATAGAAGCTAAACGACCACCTTATGAAGTCCCTAGTGTCACATGGTGGGCTGCATCCGAACCCTCCGTTATTACGGCAATAGACAAATGTGTTGCCATGAACAACACGGACGGCCAATGGTTCGTTGTCCCGTGCTCTGATTCAAAGCGTTCCTTGTGCTTTATGATCTCAGGTTAGTTCTTGCACGTCAGTGTCGAACGGCAACGCTAGTCTTTGAATATTATGTTCTCAATAATTCTTAACCATTACTCGTCTTAAAAATCGATTATTCTTGTCGTAAGCATTATATCAATTTTGTATGCAGAAAAGCTGTTGTTACATGCAGTCTCTGTAATGCAATATATAGACAGACGACAAAGACTAAAAATAGTCGCTTTGCAACACAGAACCTTATTGGTTTCAAGAGTCTGTAAAATCGATGAAAACATTTGCTTTTCCGAAATAAATATATCAATTCAAAAGCTATATGATTTTGAGTAAAAGTTAGAAAAATACCCAGGTAAACATCTATCGAAAATACAAATTCAATTTATACACGTGGTCACTAAATATGACATATGTTATTAACATAGACGAATAAGATAACACTATTTAAAAACTTTTTTATTTTTTATCTGTATTTAATATATCACCGTTTTAGCTCCTGACTGTCCCCAGCTAGACGCTCCTACGAACGGGTCCGTTAGCTACTCGAGTACTAATGCTACTGCTATATTTCAATGTGATGTTGGCTTTACACTAAGTTCTGGTGATGATAAGTTAATTTGCTCCGGTACGACTTGGATAGGGACACAACCGACATGTACAGGTAAGCAGTAGTTTGACATAATTTCAATAACGCGTGTCAAATTAATGTCACAGAGCCTTTTAAACAAACTCTGGACGTTTTCTACATGCTTTAATTTAACGATGTTGGCCCATACAAAAAATTTCCCTTCCAAGACATGTGTCTGGTAAAATGTGTGTCTGTTGTATAATAATTCTATAGTAGTACAGCAGGACTCCAGATGATATGTCCTAACTGAGGTTACGGCCCGACTGCGATAATGCTCAGGTTTTTTTTTTATTATTTTACAATCGCACACCCAAGCACACTTTCCTCACAACTTACGTACCAATAAGCATATTATTCAAAAACAGCTCCACCACAGGACGTATACTACACAAGCACTAAACGTACTGAGGTGACACAGGTACGACACGTGAATAAACTATAAATAGAAACAGGAACTTTCCACATTGCACAACAACAAAGCTAGACAAGTGTGAATAAGTGCATACCACAAACAAAACATTACATACATGAAGTTAAATCAAATTCGCAGTAAATGTACCTGTGACATTAATGCATTGGTAGCACTTACTGGTTGGTTTGTCGTTCCTATTATTAAATTGAATCTGTATGGAAGAATCATGAATATGTCTACTTGTATTGTCAATAATTCAGGATTAACGTAATTGATATTTTAAAAGTACAAACACATTTAAAAGCATATACTTTGGGGAATTTAACTCAAATTTATTAGTAATCGACCAGTTTGACACTACCATATACTGTTGCCCGCGAGTTAAAATCCAGCAAGGGGAATATTGCGATGAGGGATAAAAAATATCAACGTCGATGCACACTGGAGAGAGGATGTGTTTTAGAGCATTGCATATTTGTGTGCAAGACATCTCCATTACACAATGTGACAATGTTTGTATAGCTAATGGAAAATATTTGATATGCCACAGCGTCGACGCACAAGGTCAGTGTTGAACAGGTTACACGTACAAATACAAACATATACCGTTATAAAAAAAGAATCATGAAAGGATTCGTAAAACATCAGAGTACAGGAAGGAAGCATAGGGTATTATCAAGTCTTTTTCTCTCTTTATAAATAGGCCACCTTATTGTTTTCAATAGAACGAGTTAAAAAAGAGTAGTAAGTACATTGTTCACACAAGAAGCTTTATTAGAATATTTCGTGTTAACGTATCAAAGTAACATTTGATCGGAAATATGGCATTCTTCTATAGAAAACAAATTGTAATGTAATATCTCAAACGTGTATTGAACAAAATTCTTACCTCTGCGCTAAAGTGGAATGCTTAATATGACCGTCATTTTTTTTTAAATGTTAGAATACATTTTCTTGACTGCGTAATTCCGTTAATAGCGTTAACGGTTTTTTTAAAATGTTTTCCCGTTGTCGAGTTACTTCTCTTGAGCATAACTCTGAAAGTCTGATTTCAACCAAAGTTTACTTAAATTATCATCACAGACCACAAATTACGATAAAGTGAATCCTGGCTTGGTGGTTTCTTTGCGAAAAATGTTATTTCGATGAATATTTCAAGAAATTATGCACAGCTATCCGATCTTTTTTACGACTTCATAAAGTTCAATTTCGTAACATTTCCAAGATTTAAGTTTTAAGTGAGTTTTTTAAAATTTTGATTTTGTTTGCTATGCTGATTTAAGCCCGTTAATTCACATTGATTCTCTCTCATTATCTAAAAAAAACTTTCCGTCACCTTTTGGAAGATGAGAAAATGTTTTGAAATAAAAAATCTCCTAAAAATTAAGAAAGAATGCCTGTTATTCCGGGAGAAAATTTTAAAAGCGTAATATGCGAACATGAATATATTTTTTACTTGTATTCTGATGTCTTCTGATGTCAGTAACATGATGTTTTCTTTTCTTTTCTCTCTCTTCTTTATCACTCTTTTCATTTACTTTCTAACATCTAACCTTTCAAAATATTTCCACAAGAAAAAAGTTGAATTTTACAAATTTTGTTCTCCTGGTCTTCATACATTCCTAAAGTATACACAATAAAGTTGACTGTGAGGTTTTAGAACATTTCCTTTTCCTTGTGAAATGTCTCACATGTTTAAACTGGCAGGTGTTTATAACGAGGAAATTTATGTCGTCGATATTTCTTTAACATCAATTTAATAATACAAATTGGTAGATACAACATTTACAGTACATTTTGTAACCAGTTTGTGTATTCGTGTGTCGCCGTTATGACATTTTTGTACTTATTCTTCCATACACTCCGTCTGTTTCCATTCGCTATTTTTTAAGATTTTGTGTCGATGACGTTTATTTTTCAACCTTATCCTTTCAGTATGTATATTCAATTATGGTAATTTCCCGCTGACGCTATGTTTCGTATTTTCAATGGTTCTACTTTCCGCATATTTCAGTCATACTTTGGTTTTGTGTTGACATTTTGCCTATTTTCTATTTTGATAGTTGCGCAGTGTCATTTTAATATGACCGAGATGGCCACGTTGCATATGTACGTTGACTCAGAATTTGCTGACCATTTAACAAACGTAACGATGAAATGCGACTTAGGATATGCATTCTTTATCAACTCCACCTCATTAGAGGTGGTCACCAATGTGACGTGTCAGTGCGTGCAAGATAACGGTACTACCGTCTGTGCGCATTATGACACCTTTTACAACGGGCGATGCGATAGTAAGTAGTTTTCATATTATTTTAGTGTCTACTTGTTTCGGATGAGGGGGAATGTTAAAATTGAATAAAATAGTATTAGACGTCACATTTTTTGTTTTTATTCCACATACATTGATGTAGTATGATAATAAACTTATCGAACATCAAGTTAACCAACTATGCTCCACAATACACCATCGTATTAAGCAGATAAGTATCCTGTATAGTCGCGATATTCTCAATTGGTATCTCTGCTTTTCACAAAAGAAGTATCCCCTGTCTGCATTAGCATTGCCATACTTGAGTCGTGAACTCTGGGTGTATTTCTTTGGTATAACACACATCTGTTGAAATGACGTCTTCACATGATATTAGATGATACGATGAGCAAACTGGTCCACCGCATTCGCAAAAGTCCTAGATATGCTGTTGTTGGGAGTCGATGAATCCTAGGAGGGTTGAGGTATCAAACGTTGAGACGTAGAACTTTGCTTTGATTACAGGTTATTTCTGTTTTTTCTGCAGTTGTGACATGTCCTTTACTGACAACAGCTGACAATTCATTTACTAATCTGGTGGAAGGTCACGTTTACACATATGGAGAAAGTGTTACATTTAACTGTACGGCTGGTCATGTTTTAAATATCGATATTCTGAGCTGGCCACCTCAAATGACGACTGTGTGTACTGAATTCGGACAATGGAGTATAGCCTCACCATTTAAATGCAGCAGTAAGTCCTACATCAAAGCTCATTTACTAATTTTATCTCAATTTATTTTGTTCAACGGCTTCTGACTTCTTTCTTTTTTTAAGTTAGGGACATTTTCCACCTCTTTCGTTTTGCTTTTTGTAAATGAATTCTTAAAAGCTTAATCATTAATTTTTATTTCAGAATCACGGCGTTATGTTGGCTGTTATGCAGCAGGTGCATTGCAGGTTGTAACTGACATACCACTTACAGGGCAGCTCTACTGTATGAACGATTGCCAAGATCTTGATTTCCGGTACGCAGTGACAGCCAATGGAAGCTGTTTTTGTGGTAATTATATCGACCCTACTGTGATACAGGTAGACGCCATGCAATGTAACATGACCTGTCCTCTCATCCCTGATGAAGCACACCACGCTTACTGTGGAGGAGAAAACAGCCAGGAATCGGTCTATCAAACCGTCAGTAAGTAAGATATGACCTATGACCTTGAAAGTCGTAAATGGTTTGAATAAAAAGACAAAAGTATACAGTTGAACATTTGGTTTGATGGAACATTGTTACTCAAAAAATTAATCAACGTTAAGTGATATCTGACATTTTTTTTTTTTTTCATTTTATGTTTTCCTCTCGTCGCCCACAAAAAATCCAACGGAAAAGCGAAATAGAAAAAATATAGATAAATAAAAAACAAGATAGATAAAAATAAGGAAATATGCCAATGTAAAGATAAAACTCAGATAAAGCTGTATACTGTGGAATGGAAAAACGCTTCAGCCATCAGACAAATAAACGTAAAATAAGATGTATCAGATAAAAATAACGTTACCAAACGTTTATTACCAAGTATCATCATAATAAACTATCGTCATTAGCCTTGTTTAGCTTTTGTATTGATTTTTCCTCATCTATGTAAATGCCATTGTACTAGAAGAGAAGGAAGACAAAGACAAAAAGGATTTTAAAGATTAACAATTAAAAAAATAACTACAATGTATATGTAAATGCTTTAATTCGGTGGTCATTCTTCTACTAGAGTTGTGAAACAAAAATCTAAATACGTTCGCTATAAGGTATGATATAAATAAGTATGAATTACACTCAAATGATGATATTTACAATTACAGTCAATGCCTGCTATAAGGAACTGAATACCGTGGGAATTTCGAATTTTTCTGTCAGCGGTGACAAGGAATTGACATGCCAACAACGTTGTCTTGCAGAAAATGTCTTTTATGCCATTTTATCAGAAGATATATGCGCGTGTACTAACACTTCTAATCTGCAGGGATTAGCCTTAACGAATCAATGCGAAAATGCGGCATATAATGGTACCGTTCATTCCATCGAACACATGGGTAAGTTATAACATCCTCGTAAGAGGAAACAGCAGATAAACTTGGCTTATAGACAGCTTTTAGTAAGTGTGCTTATACAAAATGATAATGCTTTTTAGAAACATTTTCTGTAGTCTTATAGATTGACATTTCCTTACATAAATGCAATACGATCGAATCATCGATTTAATTCTTATAAGATTTGAAACAAAATTCAAACTTTTTGTTGGACTTATATTTACCTGGGTTTTTTTTTTTTTTTTTGGTAAACTAAATATTCTCTGATCCTTTATGGCATTGATAGGCTCTGAATGAAACCAGACGTATGTTGCCTTAAACAAACAAAAAATAAATAAATAAAAAAATAAAAAAACTTAAATTTTACTCCATTAGGTTTTGGTGTCTTAAAGTGAATTGCAAATCTCCAATAACAAATATTTTGAAAAATTACAAATCAGGTCTCGTTCAAACGACATGAATATTTTTTCCAAAATTGAGCTAATAGAAAACGAATATAATTGTAAACGCTTTCATGTAAAGTAAGTATACTTTACATTATAATACAACACGTGAACATGACAAAATGATAACGTCTATCTATTTCACATCTATAATAAGCTATGTTTTTACGAAATTTCTATAGACAAGTTATTTTCCTACCAAAATGATTGTGTTAGTCTAAACGCTTCTACATTGATTATGTCATTTAAGAATATGTTTTTGAGGGATATCTTTTGCACAATCTGCGAGATTGCAGATGGTAGACACCCCTGGAGGAATTCTAGTCCCCGATGATTGCTGTATACTACATGCCACGTTATAATTCATTTGAACAGTGGGGCGGTTCAAAATATATTTGAGGTTCTTTTGATCATGTATTTGAAATTACGAAAATTATTGAGTTATGAGGCTAGGGCATTTCCTAATTTAAATTTTGATATTTTTTCGATCATTTAAAATTTTTCTCAGAAATCGCTTGGGTTTCAAAAGGATCTCTTTCCGTAAAATAAGTAAAAAATGAAATTGTGCCAATGCACTCAATCTCAAACCAGATATAATGTTTGAATACAGTTTGACGATCTTGTGAAATCGTATTATTGTATCTGTCTTGCAGACATCTGGTATCGCTGCTCATTTTGCCTCGATTCTTCACTATTTTAGGACGTTACATGCACATAGACAGGCAAAACTTCTTCAACACAGATTCGAAAATAACATTTTTTGATGTCTGTACATTAAAACCACCTCATAAGAATGATTAATTAAACCGACGCAATGTAAAAGTATTTACCGGGTTTACCCAATTCACTCATTTATTCATAAATACTAATTATTGATAATCGAAAGTTAGCTTTGGATGAATTTTTTTTGTAGAGATAATGTATTACAAGGATAATTTAGGGGCCTCTAAAACGGTATTATCATCTTCTGACCATGCAATTTCTTGAAATATAGTAACTTTGTTCTTGCCCTTAAATGGCAATTTTATCGGTTCTCAGTTCTTTTTTCTGAAATTTTCACTACATTTACTTCAGATAATGCGCCAGGTAATTTGGTAAATATATTTGGTCACTGAAAACGGTAATATAATTTTTTTCAGAAACATTTCTTATCTGAGAAACTGTTGATTTTTGAGGAAATACTGACCCCTGTCTAACATATAAAGATTTTTGGTGAACTCAAATTGAAAAGTACATACTTCAGTTCTTTGAAAAACTGTTTTTGGTTAAAAAAAAAAACAAACAAACTTTTTCAATTTTGAAACTACGATTTTTTTATTTTGCAATATTTTGATACATCTTTACCAGCAACTTACCAACCTGATTCTTGTTAATCAAATTATATATCATTTGGTAATGTACGCTGTGGTTTTAATACTTTTTCAGATGAATAACTGAATCCTGTCATGTTCCTATGGTTACAACGTTATATGGGCCGTAGCACAGGCCATAAGGACGTTCTGAAATTTTTTATATTATTTAATGAGTATTTAATGAGGAATCGGTCAAGTTGTTACAAATACCACACACTTTTATTTGATTTGGTGCGTGGGCAAAATTCCATTGTTCCCGAAAGAGATCCTTTAGGCCTGTACCAGCAATGACGAGTCCTAGGTGGGCGAACGGTTATGTGATGAATTTTATTTCATAATTTGACTCTATTTCATATTAAAAGTTTTCATTTGCAGGATTTTCATCAATCTATAAAAATATGGATGCATTATATAGTCGTTAATTTACATTGATTATAACAACTAGATAGGCCATGGTGCAATTTCAACCTGTTTGAGACATACTTAAGCAATACAGTACTTTCCCTTTCAGCTGAACTTTCAGCCGAGTATGAAAAATGTGAGTCGCTGTATGAAGCGGGTGTGAAGGATAACGGGTATTACAACCTTAAAACACTGGGCAGGACGTACTGCAGCTTTAAAGGTATTGTAATTTGAAGTGGTAATTAATATATTCCGTTTTAGTCTAGTTGGTATAAACAGGAATTGGACAGCGTTTTTATTGGTTTTACGGTAGTACAAATGCAATGGCTATAGAAATATTTCAGATGTAGCGCGCTATATAAGATATGTCTATATCATCTTTACCTCATACCGTCATGAATGCTGTATTATATATCTATATTTACGACGTTTTACACTTTAGTCGTTGCTAATTGGACTGTTTCAGGTGCTACTTGGGTTTACTACTTTACGGCTGGTAGTTGCGATAACACTAAACATAGTTTCAACATCATTAACAATTATTACCAACAACAACAGTTATATTTGTCTAAATATACACATGCTTTGATAAATCATATATTTAAAAATATATCAATAAAGGCGGATGTAACCACGTAAAAATACCGTGATGCAGTGTGTTGTAATGCTCATAGTTTCCGTTTTGGAAAAAGTCGTAATTATGTTAGTATTCTATACACAATTTATATTGATTTTATGGAATAGTACATCCGTTACCCGTTAGGGGACTTCTAAATACTAAGCTATATCACTGATATAAAAGATAGACGTGCGCTGTGTGCGACCTGATCTAGAGCTAGGGGATAAAGTAAAGTTCAAGAAATCTTCTTTATGGAAGAATGTCAGAATGTTTGACTTGTAATCTGAATGGACAATTTCACAAGTACGATACTTTACGCACGCGCGGAAATTATAACAATCAAAAGTAGTTCACGATTGTTTTTGTAATAATTAAATTTCATATGGATTTTTATCAAGCGTTGTACAGTCGTTAATTTCTTGTAATAATTTGTAAGAAATAAGAAAAAACCCGTTTTGCATATAATTACGCCCCGATTGACAAAAACATGGGAAGAACAGGTCAATTCATCGTCGGAATAGTTCTGAATATACAATCTAAACTTTTCATTTTTTCTAAATCCAGATTTCGACAGCTATTTCAAAATATGGACACCGATTGCCATGATGCTGTGACTGATTAGACTGAACATTCCATTTTATTGTTGCTTAGATTCATCTCCGACATCTTAGATATGAGCCGTCCTTTTTTCCAGATGGGACAATATGTCCCCCTGGGTGGATTGGCTATATGGGTGATTGCTACTCGTTCACAAAGGGAAACTTTACCTTTGTGAATGCGGTGAAATACTGTCAGCAGCAGGATGCTACTGTAGCCTCTCTCCTGACCGCTCAGCAAAATGCCTTTGCTGCTTCAACGATTGCAGGTAAATAACCAAATTATATTCAGCACCTATTACCAGCAGACAACTTGAAAGATTACAGTTGCATATATCCTTTGATATTTATCCTTTAATAGCTATATTGGGTATAATACCTTAGCTTTTTTCTGAATTGGTGACGAAATTAGACTTTGAAAGTATAAATACATGTTCAATAGTGCTGATACATGGGAACACCGTTTGGCTCTTGACGCTGTTGCATATTGTTAAAGTATTCCCTTTTCTTTAAAAGTGCTTGGTGAAAGTTCAGCTCGGTGTACATATATGTATCTATGTTATTTAAAGCATCAATGTTGTATTATATACAAGCACGAAAAAAAATATAAACATGTGATTGCAGATATTAATCTTTGTTAAGATCGCGTATGCTTGAAAACACAATCTAAGCTAATACTAGTAACCATAAAATGAATCGAATATTTATTTGTTGTAATATTTGATTAATTGATACTAATTGAGTTGAATTATTTTATAATGATTGAATTTCTCTTTAAATACACGATAATACTAAGAGTAATTAATGAAATCAACGGTACGCCGAAAATTGCGTCGATAAACAAGAAAGCTGATTCCGGTCGATAAAGTTATGTTCCAAAATTTTATTTTTTTATGTTTTGTATATTATTTATATAATGTCCATGTAACCACATTAGATAGTTGAAAATGGAAATGCTATTCATGATGATCTTCGACTTCTTTCTTATCAAATACAGCCAAAAAATTCTCAATGCAAATGCAAATCGGCCAATTTCCATTTAAAATGCTACTGCTCCTGGTTCATCAAATCTGTATTTGCCTCCTTGCTCTATGTGGAACAGGTTTTCAAGAATTCCGCGCGTCAAATACACATTCCAAAAAATGGCTTATTGGATTATACGACCCTAATTCAATAACAGTCTTTTCATGGAATGATGGGAATTTGTTAACGCAGCAGCAGTTTCATGAAACACAACCTTTGGGAGAAAGTTACAACTGCGTGGCGCTACAAGAGACGAGTGGACAATGGTACAGCCATTCATGCAACGTGGGTGTCAACGTTATATGTAAACAATCCCCAGGTATGGTTTTCTGTTATAATAAATATCATATTGAAAGGTTAACGGTATAATTTTATCATTATCATATTTAATCATCAACATATTTTTCTTGAATGATAATGTAGGTCTATCTGATTAAACTTACCAATTTTGTTGAAACTCGTTACTTTTGTTGAGAATGAAAATAATTTATGCAATACAGACAGATTATCTTGCCTACATGACGAAAATGGTCTGAACGACACTGTGTGGAATTCCACGCTGAAAGACATGACGTTGTCCATGTGCATGCAGACATGCCTAGCTCGTGGTTGGTCTTACTCCATTGCAAGAAATGAAACTTGCTACTGTGCTACGGATCTTCCAAGCAACAGCTCGACGGCATTTTCACACTGTGACTTTGGGTGCCCTGGTAATTCTCTCCAAATGTGTGGGGGTACGGAGTCCACATACTATACAGCGGCAAAGGGTAAGTTCTGATTCTAGAACTAACAAGAAAGTATGATAATAAAATGATTTGATTTGATTTTAAAAAAAATCATTTATCTGTTACTATTGTATTTTCACCTTCACTTGAATTAAAAAGGTGCCATTCGCTTTTTGCTTTTGTACAATCTTCAAGATTACATGTAGCAAACACTATTGGTGGACTTTCAGTCCTCGAGGTTTGCCGTAACCTGTTTGCCACGATTTTACGGTTCAGAATCAGCACATGAACATGAAGTTCTATTGAAAGTATTGCATTAATAAAATTACGAAATTACGAAGGTCTAGTACACCTTTCAATGAAAATAAGTTTTTTTCCCATTTGATTTTTTATTTCCATCAGTCACATTCTAAGTTTCAAAACTTAGGCCTTAGCATCAGTGGAGAACCATGGAAGGACGAGACAACTGTATGTTTCAGTTTACTTCATCGTTTGGCTCTATTTCATTCTAAATTCATAGCGAATTACATTATTCAAATGTGTATCTCTTTTGCAGTTATCAAACTTGCAGATGGTATACATTACTAGTAGACTCTTCGTCCCCATGGTTTGCTCTAAACCACATGCCACGAATTAATTCATTTGAATACTAGAAGTGACATGGTTCAGAACGTTCATATATCCACGGTGTTCTATAGGAATTATCTTATGATACAAGAAAACTGCGTCATTTATGGTCAGTGTAGTGTGCTTTCCCATCCTGATTTTGACACGCTTTCGTGCATTTTTAGTAGTGCTGACATGCTGTAGAAGAACGAAACAGTTACAAAACGCAGTCGAATTCATTATTTCATCTTACAGTCTTTATTCTCGCTCAAGTAAGGGCGTACTCCTCTGAGAAGTGAAAAAAAACCCACTTTTTTTTTTATCTGATCATGATTTTTTGAAAGCATTCATTTTAGAAACTAAGTAAAAAGGTAAAAAATAATATGAATATCAAATTTAATACTTTTCCCGATATAGGCATCATAATATGTGCAAGAGGAAATAATTCATTTTCACATATCATGTTTTTCTGCCCTGAATAACAGACAATACCTGCGGCAATTTCCTCACAATAAAATTTCGTAATGTATTACAAGATAAGGGTATGATACCTGCATATTAAGATAAAATTGAAGTTTTCATTCGAAATAAAACGTTTTAAATTATATAGCAACCAAAAAATGAAAATGTTCCGAATTGACTTAAATCCTTTATTTGACTATCTTCTAGTATTAAACTTTTTAAAAGCTGTTGTTTAGATACACAACTTTTTAGGTATATTTTTCATGATTAATATTTTCACCCAAGTAGCTGGTTTTTTCAATGACCAAGAAATAAGCTGTAATAATGGTTTAATTAAAAATTTGAGAAAGCGGTCCGTCAAGTCGGAATTCACAAATTTGAAATCTATTATTTGTGGTAAGATTTTATACAAAATTTACATAAAACCTACCTAAGACCGACAGAGCTATACTCAGGAGAAGTACCTTAGTAACCGGGGAACGCTATAAATTACTCCACAATCGAATTTTTTCCAAAAATGCCATAAAATTGCCCTTTTAAATTTTATAAGTATAGCTATAGATAACAAAGTGCATAAAAACTCAAAAATCCAGTATATTACGCTGGCATTCATTTGATGTCGAATTATGACTTACTTCCGGTCACACGTCAAGAGAGTACATCCTTAATGAAAATAACCCCAGTTTTATATTGATTGTGCAAAAGGTGTGTTAGTTTAGAATTCGCTTGCAGTATCTGGTCACACAAGATTGGAATCTCAGCAGCCACCAATGTAAATTAATTTTTTTGTTATATTTCAGTATTGAATGCAACAAGGGCTTCGACATGTGAAGACCTACAGTCACAAGGGTTGACGGGAGACATATTCAAACTGAGTGGTAATGAAAACTCAACCCACTGTCCAAACACAGGTATGTCATTGATTTTAATAATGTCTGATAAGTATTACAGTTTAAGACAATACGTATACTTGATGTCTGCATTTAGTGTTTTGATTAGTTGTAATGTTTTTTGGAAGTACCCCATAAACTAAATTTATTTTCATGCATTTCTGATCATAGGTGTTCTTGTATTAACGTTTATTCAACTTAGATTTATCATATTTTAATATATAACAAAACAGGAAAAATATCACCAATATAAGCCATTTACATTTTTGATATTTATATAGACCCAAAACGCGTAATGGCAAGTTACCAATTACCGATCGAAAATTAAATTCTTTTCAATGAAATGTATGTTCACCAAGTAAAACTATGTCCTTTCTCTTTGTGTCTTTATATATTGTGTCCAATATATTACGGGGAATAAATGACATCATGAATCAATTCATTCTTAAAGACAAATTCTCCTTTTAATAACATAGAATAAATAGTAACTAAATATTAATTGATATAATTAGATAAGTCAAATGATATTTATCTGCATAGCTTTGCCTCGGTTTCTCACAGGTTGTCCATACGCATGGGTCAAAGGAAATTCTAGCTGTTATAAGCTGATGCTGGGAAGAAAGACCTATTCAAATGCGATTGCATATTGTGCGAATTATAGCTCGCACCTGCTAGTATTCGACAATTTAGAAGAAGATGCTTTCATTAGTGAAGTGTTAGGAAATCTAACGTTCTTTAGCTCATCGCAAAACTGGGCGTTTGGACTTAAGATGACTGGGAGATATACGAATCAGTTCTTCTGGGCAAATGGTCAACGGAATAGCCCTATTATAAAAAATGTAACAAGTGCTGAGAAGTTGACTAAAGGCTTCTTCAAAGCACCAGTGATGGAATGGCATATGGGCGGCAGTATCAATGAACGAAGTTACATTTGTGAACAGAGTGAAGGTATGTTTTATGTATCAATTATCATAAGTTATATATGATTTAATTTCAAATTGTCGTGCAGTTGGGATTCTATAAATCAAAACTACATGCAAGCAATAATATTTCAACAACACTTAAATGTGTTTATGTGATTTACACACGTTCCTTACCTTTTCCAACTGAATAAGAGGTTTTACATATATTTTCACAATACATGAAACATCCATGTGCTTAGGAATGAATTATTGTCACAATCAATTACAGATAAATATAAGAAATGTGGTGGTATGTATTTTCTTGTTTATGTCAGATCAAAAACTTGATTCTTTTATAGATTATCAGTGCTCTTTTGTAATTTCAGTATATGCAGGGTGTTACGTGCATTCAAACAATTCAGTGACGGTAATCGAGGAAGACTTTTATTTGTCAGTACAACAGTGCGTAGAAAGTTGTCGAGGTATTGGCTATGACTATGCCATGCTTCAAGAAAGTCGTTGTTATTGTGACGAAACTCTTGCCTTGGACAAATACGATGCTGGTTGCTTGGAGATGTGCCATTTGGTTCAGCCTTGCGGATCAAAGTCCAATGATGCCGTATCTGTGTATAAAACATGTAAGTCGTTCTTTGTAATACTCTTTATACTTTCTCATTTAAATGAAGTCATGTTGGGTTTAAAATATAAACAATGCTTACAAAATTATGGAAGTGAATTGTTGGTTTAATTATATAGCTTTTCATTTACTTTACTCGTTGGATTGTGGATCAGCAGGATACTTTAAATGAAATGATGAGTTTAACAAAGGAAACTCGAAAACTTTTCTTCGATGGGATTATACTAATGTACTTATGAACACCGCTCACTAATATCGGAACTTAAATTTACATTGCACCAGCTTTAATGTCTGATGGATTTATGGAATGATATCATTATAGAGAAAATGATGTATAAATGAAAATATTCCATGTGTAATGCTACCGGCAAACGTCAAATGTCAGATGGTCAACGATCAGATACCTGGTAATATTGTTTTGCAATCTGAATGAATTTAACCATTATTAATAATTTTGTATTATACATGGAATACCTTGATATTACATTTCTGGTATGATAGGAAAGTTTTGAGGTTATCTTGTAAACATCTGTAAGTTCATTTGTGTGATTTCAGCAAATTGGTGCATGTACTAATCAACAATCCTTGTTATGTTAAGGGTTGTATCCATTTTCTGACTCGTGTGCGTCCTTATACCACCAAGGAGTAATCCTCTCGGGAATGTACCTTATAAATGGCGTTAATACAACCTGCTATTTCTACGGTAAAGTAATAATAATATCGATATTGTTTGTATAATCATTGATACCTTATTGATAGTTAGAAGCATGAAGCGAGAGAACATTACATTGGGAAAAGATGATAACATGACGATCGTTAGTAACAAGATAATTCGAACGTATATACTAACAATGAAAGAACCAACTAGAGCCACGACTCATGTTGATAATGTTATTGAAAGTACGACTTATTTTGTTGAATAACTTACAAGTTTTAAAATAATGAGTCCATGCTTTTCCTCGGTTGGATTCAGTATTTACGTTCATTGCTTATTTATCATTTTGAAGTATTTCTGAGATTTCATTACAAATTAGGTCTATCTTATACCTCTCAAGTAACAGCAAGTTTTGGCGTTTAGCACCAGCTTGAATAAAACGATCATATGTTTTATGTGCTTGATACAGAAATCCTTTATTTGACCACATAATCTTGTACACACAATTATCATATGATTTCCGTTTCTTTTTTAAATATACCGATGGGATGTTTTTTATGTATTACATGTATTATGAAAGGACATCAGATAGATACCATAGATAAAGAGCCGAAATTACCTCAGATTTGACGTGGAAATATCCGTTTTCTCTTCTCAATATTTTCCTGAATAATTGATCATATGATAAAAAGCGTGTACAATAAATTCGTTCCCATTTGATTGTGATTGGTGAAACTCATAATAAGCCAGGCGCCAAACATTCATATCTCAATGATATAACCAACCATAACGTGTAATGTAGCTATGACTCTTGAAAAACATTGTCTAGTGCATCTTTAGAATTAGCTTGTTAAATATACAAATCGTGATTGCAATATTTTATTTCGTTTAATATCAACAGACAATACTTCATGTCCAACAACTGACTGGATTGGATACAGAAATAATTGTTATATGTTCGTCGATCGGGGAAAGAGTCAAGACGATTTGTACACTCACTGTGCCTCGTTAGGGGCCCATTTACTAACGATTAACGATGAAGCGGAACACAATTTCCTACGAATGGTTATCAAAGGTAAACGTATAGCTATCAAAATTAGACACAACCACGCCCATATAGCTAACTTCATCCTCGTAAATATAATTATCCCCTTTTTTGTCCCAAAACTGCTGTAACATAAATCAGAAGATTGATGTAACAGTAATATGGGATCAGTTTTTTGTTAAGAGTATAATTTCCTTGTGGTGGTGATTATTATTGTCAAGTCATGTTAAGGTTGTTTAAAGGTTGTTTTCCACTAATTTTAGGATCTTTTGAAATTTCCTTGTGGTGGTAATCATGGTTTTCAAGTCGTGTTAAGGTTGTTAACAGGTTGTATAAAGGTTGTTTTCCGCTAATTTTGGAATTTAACAACCCTCTTTTTTGACCCCTGAAGTTTTCTCATCCCCACTTAAACTTTTGATTTTTCAAATCTTTACTCCTGCCATGTAACATTTGATCTTTTCCAGATAGATATAAGCACCAATAATCTTATATTTTCAAGGTCATCCAAAGTATGCTCATACTCAAATTCGCATTGGTTTGGTGAATGAGTTTGCTATTGGCATCCCCACGTGGGCCACTGGATCACTACCCAGCTATTTTCCTTATCCATATCCGTCCCCTTCCCTTACATCGATTGTCATGGAGAGAACATCAATGTCTGATTACGGCTACAGTATGATCGATGCAGCCACAAACATATATGGTTTTTGCGAACTTGACAAACGTAAGTGACAATTTTGATAATGAATTTCCTAGTGAATATGATCATAAGTCAGTATTTATTGCTCTTCATAATCTGAAACAGATCGATGGTGAAAATTAGAGACACCAGGAAAAACATTGCCGATTACATGATTCTTATCCCCATGAACGCACTGTTTTTTTCCATGTATGTCGTACAAATGACGTTAGTCTCATAACACATATTGTTATTGAGAAGAAATATTTATTTGTTGCGGATGATTTTCAATCTGTGAAATAAGAACACAATTTTCGATTCCATTGTTTTCTCATAATTGTATTTACGAACTGTATTTTCAGAACACATGGGCTGTTTCGATATACCATCCAACATCCAACCAATCATGTCAAAGTACCATAATATGGAGTTAACACAATGTAAACAAATATGCATGGGAAATGTATCTCTGGAAGGGTTCGCCCTAATCAACCAAGAGGCATGTTATTGCACTGAATCTTTATTTGGACTAATGTTAAAGAACGAGTCCTCTTGCCATGTCACGTGTCCTGGTAACTCTTTGCAGGTGTGTGGAGATGGCGTGGTTAACGCCTACAAACTAGGTAAGATTTCATACCAGTACAGTAAGGCGTCATTTCAGAATTGTTTTTCAACTAAGCCACTGACGTGGTAAAGTAATATTACAATATTTATTATATAAACACTTTTTACGATTTCATTTTTGTGTCTTTAGCTTTGTTTTGTATATTGTTGTATGTTGTTATGTCCAGGCACATTACGATCCTCTCCACACTAAGTTATTGGCATGGATGTGGGTGCGCACCCCAAGAACAATCACCAGGAACAGCAGTCACTCTTGACGATTACATTTTTTAATATCGTTTCAGCGAAAGAAGATATTGCCAGCAATTGTTCTGCTTTACAAATGGCAGGTTTGTGGAAGAAAGGAACCTACCGGATAGGGGATTCAAATGAATCATGCAGCGAAAACTTATTTGGTCAGTATTTGTATCAAGCATTTGATTACTACCGCCATAAACCAAACCCTGTATCTCGGCTGCACACTTTCTCGCTGATTTTGTTTTTCATTTCATTAAAGTCATGTGTCAAAATTTAAACCTTACAGAATATGTGTGAGACTATGTTATCTTCCTTTCGAAGATCTTGGCAGTGATATTTAATGGGCTGTGCCCGCATTTTGAATAACGTCGCATGTTCAATATATGGACTTACTACAGTGTTAACGCAAACTCTAGTTAAGGATAATTGTACATTTGTTATTATCCAGCAATTAGTGTCGTTAGTTAAGTTTACTTTTAAACTCAAAACAAAAAGTTTCCATAATGTTGTTCGTCTACAAATTTGTTCCAGAGCGAGGGATATGAATAATGGTGACTTGCCGTTCTGATTTGCTTGGATTTTCGTGATTATACTTTTGGCCCAAAATATCATATTTATCATCTTGGAATAAGTAAAAATAACTTTGAGGTATATTGTTTATAAACAACGAAATTTAACATGCTGTTTTGTTATTAGGTATATAGAAATAATAATATTGAATAAAATGTCAACTTCCGAACCATGCCTCAAAATACAGCCATTACATTGTCATAGAGATATTCATCAATTACACTGTCTCATGTATGATTTGTTTTCATCCATAGACGATACCGAATGCTCAACGGGATGGCATGGCAAGGATGGGACTTGCTATAAATTTGCTTCATTAGAAGGAATGGCGTATAAAGATGCAGAAACGACATGTTTCCAAAATGGTGGATACCTCTTCTATCCACGGTCACCAGAAACTCGCCAAATGTTTATGGAAATACTGCCCTACATCTACAAGAATACAACTGGATTCTGGACTTCTGTGAAAGATGAATTGATGAATTCTTACCTGAGAGGAGGAGATGGATGGATTTATTTCAATGGGTCTGTGGTCAACGAAAACATTTATACCGTCTTCAACATGACCACTGGTTCATTTGACAATCACGCAAATGGGTCATTCGCCGTTATTTGCGAAAAATCAGCAGGTATGATGTAATAAATCTACTTTATTTGTACTTGTTTTCATATATAAAAACCACTTCTTTCTCCTTATGTAACAGTAAAAAAATCAGCAGATATTATTAGATTTCAAACCATAGCTTGTATTATCATATAATAGTCAAAAATATTTCTTCATTTTGATTCGAGCTGCTGTAAGTTATATTCAAGGTTTTTTTTTTATTCATCGCTATTTTTGAGAATGGAATGTAATTGCAAAACAATATATCTCAAATACAAAATTTATAGTTCGTCTTGCTTTACTCTGTGGAAAAATCGTGAAAATATGAACTAAAAATGACGAAAGAAAGAAAAAAAGATAAATTCAATATCTCAATACCCAGTCATGTAAGTTGATCATTGTAATTTTCAATTCGAATATCGTTGACAGAATTTTTGTCTAGTTGAGAAATATTATTTCATATTTTACATGTTAGACTTGTATCATGACACTAGTTTCTTTAATGAAATGTTCTCTGCTGTAGTTCTCTAGGCCGCCGCTCATTGCCGTATTCATAAAAAATATATTGTGCAATATCAATACTCCAATGACGTCAAATTTTTTACAACTGATTTTGTTGTATTTTGTAGAACATCATTTGTAGTGACAATTTGAGTATGATATTTTAACCTAATCGATCGAATATAGAGTCAACCTTTCCTAATTGCTATTTTAGCATATCCTACTTACGGTTCACCAACTTCTTAACCAACATCGACTGTCATAGTTCGCCACGATTAATTTACCACGTGTACTGTATAACTGAAGATAGTCGTGTATTCAGAGATTGGATCGTAGAAATATTAAATAAATATAGATATACATTTAAAAACGTATAAACTGTAATTTCAAATTATATAGAACAGGTGTTCATCTCATGACTTGTTTATTATTTATTGTTGTAATGGAGTACATAAGAAATAGTGAAATGTTCGAAACATCTGAGCAGCATTAATATTACTCAGAAAATTCTGCCGGTGTAGCCTTTTCCTGAGTATGTGTCACTAAACATTATACTTGATTGGAAACTTCATTCAGTATCACGAATTGTAACATGTGGGAGCAGTTATTATGCAAAGCTGTGTTTCAGATCATCATGTGTCCTAATTGTGTGAATAATGCATTATCCACAGCGAGTTACAAATGCTCCCAGATTTACAAATGCCAATAGGAATCAGACTGTATGATAAACGGCAAATGGCTGCACCAATAAAAATCTCTGAATGGTATTAATGTTACTACGGAATCCGTTATAAACAACGCTAATATACAACCAGTGGAAGAATTATGTGTGATAATGTACAAGATGGTTAATGTAGTCCTCTAAACATCACACATATACCTTCTACCGATTGTGTTTTAATAACTTATAAGGTTAAGTGTGTTATACGTTGTTTATACGCCTATAAAAAACAGCGTATTAAAACACACAAAAAATAATAATTTCACAATATTATTAATAAAATCTTGGTTTTCGTGGGATGGAAATGCTCTTTAGAACCTTCATTGACAATCATACATTGGCCTTAGTTTACATGTCGAGCATATAAATAAACGCACCAATTTATTCGGAACGTAATGATCTATACTTTTGAATACTGCTGTGACTTTATATAGATTGTAATAAAACTCTACTAAGTTTCATATAAAGTTACTGTATTTCATACGTTCATATGAAGGCTATATGGGACATACGTTAATTAATTTTAGATATGACTAATGCATGTGTATCTTCTCTTTCATTTAGGTTACGTCGGATGTAAACAGATTTCTGTGCTTTCCAGCCCGATCCTCAGTCCGTACAACCGAAATGACATGACTGCAACACAGTGTATACAGTATTGTATGGCGAATAACAGCGCCGAATACAGCATCATACAACATACGGAGTGCGGTTGTTATGCTTCAGTTACTGTGTTACTTTCAGCTAACACCACTTGTGGATCGTGCCTTGGATACAGCGCACAACCATGCGGATCATATTCCTCAAGCTCGTTTTCCATTTTTAAACTTTGTGAGTATCACATAAATTTTCCCTAATGTGAATTTTACATTTCTAAATAGCAATATGACTGCATCCCCAACATAATGTATTCACATGTCACAATTGATTTGTTATTCAAGGGTCTGTTCCCATTATCGCGATTTTCGTGCAAGAAGTCGTCACCTGACGGACAAATTCGTAACGCTGGGTTCAGAAATGCAGGTTGATGATAATTACCGGAAAGTTTCATAGTCGCTACTGTGACCTCGTTAAGAAATGTTATATCATTTTGGGCGATATAAAGCTAATTGTGTTGGATGCTCGTTAGTTTGCCTTTTGGATTCCGTTGCTGTATTTTCTTTATGTTTTGATAGGGCGAACAGATTTGAATATTGGGAATAAATTTACAATTTTACAATTTTAATTTTAAAATAACAGAGAATTTTAATTGATAGATAGTGATAAGAAATTTATAAATCTTTGATAACATTTGTCAAGTTATTTCGCAAGAGTGTATCACCATCATAACAGCAGAAGCTGCCGGGTCGATTGTAAATAATCTATCATACTGTGTGGATTTCTTTTCTGGAGCTGGACGTTATCTGCCAATCATTGATGATAACCTCATAATTTTTATTTTTTCATTTTAATACTATCGAAAATATTCCTCTTCATTGAAAAAGATATATCTATAATTGTCCCCACGGGGTTTACGACCCTTGCATTTTAAGAAGAATTTATTTAGTCGTCGGAGAGTAAAGAAAGAAAATGGTCAAATGGTTTATATAGTTGCCTCACATGTTTCACATCGAATGAAGAATATCTAATGCAAGATGCAAAAATGAGTTATGCAATCACCCTAGGTAAGTGAACTTTTCAATGTAGTTTGATTTTGATCCAGTGAGATGATAACTAAATTTTCCAATTATGTATTGTTTGATTTCTCAGTGACCACTGTAATATGTTTTGTTTTTGTGATTAGCACATTATAGATCAAACCTGGTGTCCAGTTGTATGGAGCTGTTCAATTCTGGTATCTGGATGTATGGTATCTTCAACATTCAACCTAAAGACAATGATCCGATCTTGGTGTATTGCTTCAAGGAAGGTTGGTAAAAAAAAGCTAAATTGTAAACTATTAAAAGAAATCATGATGAAAGTAAACGAGGAGAAAAGATTTCCGTTCATTTTAAAAATAACATCGCTTAACGACATCGTGATGAAGACTTATTATTGCCATTTCGTGGAGATTGTGTTCCTCTAATCTTTAGTTACAACCCACCATAAGTCATTAGCCTGAAGCACCTAATTGGTTGGTTTTTATTTTGTTCATTTTGTTCATTCCTTCATTTTCGATATTTGTTCATTGCGTTTAAAAGATTGAACAAAGATTACAAATGAATAGCACTTTTCAGTGTATACTTAAAAGCAGTGGAGCCAAATAATGACTGTTGCACCAGAAAGCTGTTTCGCCCTTCGAGGACTTCTCATTGATGCTGAGGCCTAATTATTGAATTCATGAGAGGCGAATGTGGAAAATCAAAAGATAACGAGCGAACTGTCAGAATTTATATTGGAAAATGCACCAGTCTCGTAATTCAAATTTGAACTTTGAGCTTTCCATATAACCGGTAATCTTTAAAGTTTTTTAAAGACTACCATGCACATGTGCACATTCTAAATCGTGTCAACAATCTAATGGCTTAAAATGTGACATTCAATTTACAGCAAACTTCGGGGACTAAAAGTCTACTAGCAGTGTTTATAAACTGTATTCCGACAAGTGTAACAAAACATACAAGTGAATAACACAATTCAATACATTTTTAGAATCAAATACAGTATAAGCTATCTGCATCATCGAGCTGTTTCGTCCTAGGTCTCGTCAGTGATTTTAAGTCCCATATCTGATACCTTTACAAAATCGTCAAGTACATGTGTATGTTTTGAATTGTTCCAAAGAATTAATACGTGGCATACATGTTAATTTTCTTTCTTTTGCGTGTTTATTACATTCGTTCTTTTACTCAGTCACTTCTAAAAACTTGTTAAAAACTACAGAACAGACGTTTTACATCTTGTCCGAAATGTCTACTTAATTTGTGCTTACCCCTTCAGTTGTTTCTCGTTTAATCATTATTTCAGTCGTTTGATACTTTCTCTGCCTTTGATTAGTATAAATCCTTTTTCTATCATTTAATCTTGTTATTGTCTTTATTCAAATCGTTTCCCCTGTGTTTGATCTATGACTTCCGTCACGTTTGATTTTATTACAAACTTTGTATTTTGTAAATATTTTTATTTTACAAACTTTATATTTTGTATCTCTTTAAACATTTTTTCCAATATCAATTTCATTTTGTTTTTACTTCCTTCTTTCTGTCCCTTGTATTTAATTGTTCCGTATTTGTGGTTATGCACGTCCAGGTTTAGGTTTTAGATTTGACACATATGTCTAGTTTTTGAAGGGCATTTTCCCCTTCTCATCCTTAACCCTGTTCTTTCTTTCATTGTGTTTTGTGTCTTTGAACATATCGTTTCCTTTAAGTTCAAATATTTTCCAAACGTGAAGAATTTTGACCCCTTACTTAAAATCTGTTTCTTCTTATTTCAGTGTTTAGTATCATAATAGTTCCAGAAAATCTTATTACGGCCAGCTCTTATCAACCTCTTCACGTACCTGCTTCCTCTAGGTAACTGCTACGTCTGTGTACTTTGGAAACAATTCTATTTAAATTGCAATTATTTTTATCACAGTATTTACTGGTCAAAACAATGCGTAAATGAGCTAATCAACATTCGCTCTTTTTCCAATACCTTACTACCACTGAAAAAAACACGATGGTTTATGTTTTTGATGTACAGGTCATTTATGTACAAATGTATATATTCACACGTCTATGTAACAGTTTTCTTACAGAGAAAATCATTTAAAAAATTCATTTCAATCATCCATATCACATTTAGTGTTTTAGGGTTTTCACTTTTCGTTGCAAATGTTGTAAAGTTAAAAGCAATGCAAAAATAGTATTTCATCAAGACAAAACTTCGACCTTGTGCCAGACAAATTTTGAATTATGAATGTTATCGTGATATTTCAGAGGACCACTTCTGCAAGCTGTGTTCAGCCCTGATTCCGTGTGGATCCCGGCTGAGAGCGGTGACCCGAATCCATGGCTACAAATAGACCTGACCAATGACTACTTAGTGACGGGAATTTTTACTCAAGGTTGTAGTCTGTCAGTAACATATCATAGACATAACATGTGAATAACGATACACGGCGTTCGATCGTTAATATTCCAAGTGATTACGCTATCGTTAAAGTTGTTTTCATTTGAGAACATCATATTACTTTTATTGACATAGTGGTTACACTTTCAGAACATTAATGTAATTCTCCTCGTCCTCTTTCAAAGCTTTCCTTGTTGGTCTTTCTTTTGTTAATCTGCAGGTAGTTTCTCGTTGGTTTAAATTAAGATATTTACATAAAAGCATTGTTTATGATTATATCCACATATTGGTATTTTCTGGCTGTTCTATCAAAATAACCTGATGATACAGTTTGAAATCGTGATCTACACATTATGTGTGTTTTGTTGTTTCGCTGATTGAATTATATACAGACATTGTTTGAAATGTCGTGTGGTTTCCTTAAAGCATGCTTTTTGATGGAGAAATCAATATCTTTCTTTCCCCAGGACGTCCTGATCCTAATAGTGAGCAATGGTCCTCGGCATTTGAAGTCAAATATGTGAGCACTGTCGATGCATCCTGGAAATCCATAGGTTCGGTAAGGACTCATTAGAATTTTTGTAAATTACACATTTAGGAATAGTTTTTTTTCTATGTACTATGTATTAGCACCAGTTGTGATTGAGAATTATTTCCTTTTAAATGATCCGCTGTTAGCTAGACAATGTTCATCATGAGAAGTTCACGATGCCGAAGTAGTTTTACCTTTATATGCTCTGCAAAAATAAACTTACATATATTTTGCTCGCTCAAACACAAAAATAAACTTACATATATTTTGCTCGCTCAAACACAAAAATAAACAAAACCAAAATCGTAATAACCATAAAGATTTTGTATATAACACCCATCTTGAATGAATGAGGTACTTTGGAATTTAATTTCACGAAACAGTTCCGATCAAAACTATTGTAAATGAACTCGTAAAAACACTTCCTGGGCACTAATCGATCAATTGTTAATCTCATTGTCTTTCATTGACTACTCCCACAGAACATCGAGTGTTGTTTTAAGTAAGCACCAATGTAACCGCGATATCTATCTCTCTCTGTCATTGATTTCCCATAATTTGTTATCTTATTGCAATGAAATATCACTCACCCGTTCTTGTGACAGAATACATATCTTTAATAACTTCCGTAACACCATAATTTTATCGTTTGCAGTTTCCTGGAAATAACGACAAAGCAAGTACCATTTCTATTTTTTTCCCTTCTCCGTTTGTGACGAAAATGGTCCGTGTATACCCAAGCGGAGCGGATATCGCACTCCGGTTAGCGGTGATCGGGACACTGATGTCAAATGTTGATTGTATGTATACAGTGTTTACACAGAACTTTTACTCCATGATTTACTAAGATGATGTAATAAAATAAGTCAAAATTAAAACTTTCGTATTACATTTTATACTGTACAAATCACAATTTCTGCCTATTATTTCTCGGAGCATTTTCTTCGAGTTGGTAATTTGAATAAGATAGATGTTATTATAGTTATTATAACACAAACAGTAGATGATTGAAATGTACATTAGTCGATTTTACTATATTTTGTTTAACGCTTTGTTATAGATGCCCGGGTTTATACCTCATTCTTTCATTCTGATCTGCTAAATTCCATGTCTTCTTTAGATTCCGTTTTGTTCTGATATTCATGAAGTCGGACCCCAAATCTCCTGCCCGTTTGTTTTCTCTTCATATTATATATAGCGGACGAAATACGCCAACTTTTAGGTGATATATTGTAAAACCCTATTAATATTATATCTCAATTTACAATGTTATAACAATTTTGTAGAGTAAAACATATTTTTTGTGATAAATGAAATTTTGTTTTTCATAAAGATGCAAGTACGAATATGGGATGCTATGCTGTCTTCAATACGACAAGTTCAACAGAGGTTCAACGTTACCCGAGCGTACTGTCTGATGACGAGTGTAAAACAGCATGTAACGTAACGGTACCCTTTTACAGTTACAGTAAGTATTTCTTATATCAACAATTTATGGCAAAACGGTACTCGTATATAGCGATTGTAGAAAGTAGATTTTATTCTATAGAGATGTGGGCATATTCACGCTGTTGATACATTAGAGGTGTTGATATGTTCACGTTGTTGATACATTAGAGATGTGGATATGTTCACGTTGTTAATACATTAGAGATGCGGATATGTTCACGCTGTTATTACATTAGAGATGTGGATATGTTCACGCTGTTATTACATTAGAGATGTGAATATGTTCACGCTGTTAATACATTAGAGATGTGGATGTGTTCACGTTGTTGATACATTAGAGATGTGGATATGTTCACGTTGTTGATACATTAGAGATGTGGATGTGTTCACGCTACATTAGAGATGTGGATATGTTCACGCTGTTATTACATTAGAGATGTGGATATGTTCACGCTGTTATTACATTAGAGATGTGAATATGTTCACGCTGTTAATACATTAGAGATGTGGATGTGTTCACGTTGTTGATACATTAGAGATGTGGATATGTACACGCTGTTGATACATTAGAGATGTGGATATGTTCACGTTGTTGATAAATTAGAGATGTGGATATGTTCACGCTGTTAATACATCAGAGATGTGGATATGTTCACGCTGTTGATACATTAGAGATGTGGATATGTTCACGCTGTTGATACATTAGAGATGTGGATATGTTCACGTTGTTGATAGATGTGGATATGTTCAGGCTGTTGATACATTAGAGATGTGGATATGTTCACGCTGTTATTACATTAGAGATGTGGATATGTTCACACTGTTAATACATTAGAGATGTGGATGTGTTCACGTTGTTGATACATTAGAGATGTGGATATGTTCACGTTGTTGATACATTAGAGATGTGGATATGTTCACGTTGTTGATAAATTAGAGATGTGGATATGTTCACGCTGTTAATACATTAGAGATGTGGATATGTTCACGCTGTTGATACATTAGAGATGTGGTTATGTTCAGGCTGTTGATACATTAGAGATGTGGATATGTTCACGTTGTTGATACATTAGAGATGTGGATATGTTCACGCTGTTAATACATTAGAGATGTGGATGTGTTCACGTTGTTGATACATTAGAGATGTGGATATGTTCACGTTGTTGATACATTAGAGATGTGGATATGTTCACGCTGTTGATACATTAGAGATGTGGATATGTTCACGCTGTTAATACATTAGAGATGTGGATGTGTTCACGTTGTTGATACATTAGAGATGTGGATATGTTCACGTTGTTGATACATTAGAGATGTGGATATGTTCACGCTGTTGATATATTAGAGATGCGGATATGTTCACGCTGTTATTACATTAGAGATGTGGATATGTTCACGTTGTTGATACATTAGAGATGTGGATATGTACACGCTGTTGATACATTAGAGATGTGGATATGTTCACGTTGTTGATAAATTAGAGATGTGGATATGTTCACGCTGTTAATACATCAGAGATGTGGATATGTTCACGCTGTTGATACATTAGAGATGTGGATATGTTCACGTTGTTGATAGATGTGGATATGTTCAGGCTGTTGATACATTAGAGATGTGGATATGTTCACGCTGTTATTACATTAGAGATGTGGATATGTTTACGCTGTTGATAGATGTGGATATGTTCACGTTGTTGATATATTAGAGATGTGGATATGTTCACGCTGTTGATACATTAGAGATGTGGATATGTTCACGTTGTTGATACATTAGAGATGTGGATATGTTCACGCTGTTGATACATTAGAGATGTGGATATGTTCACGCTGTTGATACATTAGAGATGTGGTTATGTTCACGCTGTTGATACATTAGAGATGTGGATATGTTCACGTTGTTGATACATTAGAGATGTGGATATGTTCACGCTGTTGATACATTAGAGATGTGGATATGTTCACGTTGTTGATACATTAGAGATGTGGATATGTTCACGTTGTTGATACATTAGAGATGTGGATATGTTCACGCTGTTGATACATTAGAGATGTGGATATGTTCACGTTGTTGATACATTAGAGATGTGGATATGTTCATGCTGTTATTACATTAGAGATGTGGATATGTTCACGCTGTTGATACATTAGAGATGTGGATATGTTCACGTTGTTGTTAGATGTGGATATGTTCAGGCTGTTGAAACATTAGAGATGTGGATATGTTCACGCTGTTGATACATTAGAGATGTGGATATGTTCACGCTGTTGATACATTAGAAATGTGGATATGTTCACGCTGTTGATACATTAGAGATGTGGATATGTTCACGTTGTTGATACATTAGAGATGTGGATATGTTCACGCTGTTAATACATTAGAGATGTGGATATGTTCACGCTGTTGATACATTAGAGATGTGGATATGTTCACGCTGTTGATACATTAGAGATGTGGATATGTTCACGCTGTTGATACATCAGAGATGTGGATATATTCACGCTGTTGACACATCAGAGATGTGGATGTGTTCACGTTGTTGATACATTAGAGATGTGGATATGTTCACGCTGTTGATACATTAGAGATGTGGATATGTTCACGTTGTTGATACATTAGAGATGTGGATATGTTCACGTTGTTGATAAATTAGAGATGTGGATATGTTCACGTTGTTGATAAATTAGAGATGTGGATATGTTCACGTTGTTGATACATTAGAGATGTGGATATGTTCACGTTGTTGATACATTAGAGATGTGGATATGTTCACGCTGTTGATACATTAGAGACGTGGATATGTTCACGCTGTTGATACATTAGAGACGTGGATATGTTCACGTTGTTGATACATTAGAGACGTGGATATGTTCACGCTGTTGATACATTAGAGATGTGGATATGTTCACGTTGTTGATACATTAGAGATGTGGATATGTTCACGCTGTTGATACATTAGAGATAGAGATGTGGATATGTTCACGTTGTTGATACATTAGAGACGTGGATATGTTCACGTTGTTGATACATTAGAGATGTGGATATGTTCACGCTGTTGATACATTAGAGATGTGGATATGTTCACGTTGTTGATACATTAGAGATGTGGATATGTTCACGCTGTTGATACATTAGAGATGTGGATATGTTCACGTTGTTGATAGATGTGGATATGTTCACGCTGTTGATACATTAGAGATGTGGATATGTTCACGTTGTTGATACATTAGAGATGTGGATATGTTCACGTTGTTGATAGATGTGGATATGTTCACGCTGTTGATACATTAGAGATGTGGATATGTTCACGCTGTTGATACATTAGAGATGTGGATATGTTCACGCTGTTGATACATTAGAGATGTGGATATGTTCATGTTGTTGATACATTAGAGATGTGGATATGTTCACGTTGTTGATACATCAGAGATGTGGATATATTCACGCTGTTGATACATTAGAGATGTGGATATGTTCACGTTGTTGATACATTAGAGATGTGGATATGTTCACGTTGTTGATACATCAGAGATGTGGATATGTACACGCTGTTGATACATTAGAGATGTGGATATGTTCACGCTGTTAATACATTAGAGATGTGGATATGTTCACGTTGTTGATACATTAGAGATGTGGATATGTACACGCTGTTATTACATTAGAGATGTGGATATGTTCACGTTGTTGATATATTAGAGATGTTGATATGTTCACGCTGTTGATATACGGATATGTTCATATTGTTGATGCTTCAAAGGTGTATATATTTAGGCTGTTGATAGTTCAGATAGGTGGGTATGTCCACGTTATTTGTACTTCATGTGAATAAGTTGAACATATTGGTAATTTCAGTAAGTTCCGAAATGTTGCATTGCTTCCACGCTCTATTGTTTCATAATGTTTTACGTGCATGTTACGTTGTGTTTTACAATGCGTCAGATCAAGTAGACGTGTAAAAATGGAAATCATATTTAAAAACTTGATAACGCTATATCTCATTGTTACAACAAGCTTGGAACAGCAATATATAATACATGTTCCTGTTTCTAATTCTCGTTCAATTTACTTTTCATTTAGGATCTTCGGAGTTTTTATGCAGTTGTCACACAAAATTCACGTATGGCGCACTCAGCCCTCCCTGTGGAAGCTCCGTAAATTTTGCAGCTGAAGTTCACAGACGTTATGGTAAAAAGTGTTGCCGAGCATAGAAAATTGGATAATTTTGTACAAGAGACACTCACGCTATGAAACGCTAAATCGCTCGTTCTATCTGTTGTGACATCATACTAAAAACAACGCCATATAAAAGAATCTTTCTGACGTTAATCAAATATAGGTAATATAGTCGAACCAAGGAAAAAAGAAATGAAAGAAAAATATCCTATTGACCCGTATATGTTGTAGATCGATTAATGTTCAGTAAAGGTAATCTATCAGGCACGATGATTAGGAATTTACTTCCGCGAATGAAACTAGCTTGTAAAATGCTTGCTTACTGAATAAGCATTAGTCCGTGAGTTGAGAATACCTCACTCTGATTGTGGTAAATGAATATCTTCTTTTATCCTTTTGGACATTGAGATAAAAACAATATAACAATGAAAAGAAGTTAAAGTGCCGCTATTTCATTATTTCATACTAATGCTCTGAAAGAAAGGTTTGTTAGGGTATAAAAAGTAATCCTCATCTCATTAAAAGCATAAATACATCTGTCCAGCGTAATAAAATAAGTGGTCTTATCTGTACTGCATTGTTTGTAAACACGTGATTTGTATATATATTAACAATATTAGTTTTACAACAATGATAATTGCAATCTCGTCTGGCTCTTCAACCAAATCTTTGTCAAAGTTACTAACCACCATTCTTAGTACTATGAAATCTGGGGTACAGTCTTAATGTGATACTGTTTACCCAAGAAGTGTCCTTAATAGTATGTGGATTTTAAAGACCTTCAAAGAACTTTTGATAATTTTCAATACCCCCTTTAAAAAATTTCTATAAGAATTTTTTTCCACTCTGTTATCACAATACTCCATTCCAAAGAGAAAGAACGTTTTCTTATTATGAGAGTTTTCTTTCCAAGAATGTGACCGCCGGTACAAACATTATGTACTATACTGAAATGTGTTTCGTGAAAAAACAGTTGCAAATCAAAGAAGAAATATACGGAGAATGTAGTCACAAAAATGATCTTTTTTTATGAGAACATCTTCGTCGGGTTTGGTAAGATCTTCCAACAGATCATTGGCATACATATGGAAACTAACAGTTTTTTTTTTGTTTTTTTTTTTATACGAGCCTGAATTTATTGAAGAGCTTATCAAAACGTCGCAAAGACCTTTCAAAGTCGTATAATTTCATTTTCAGATAAATTCACAAGGTCTCTCCTCTAAAGAACAAGAAATTTATTGAACATATACATCGTATAAACCTATCCGAATTGGAAATTAGGGACACCATATACTCTTCTACATCAGCCGCTTAGCTAGATATTTTCCTTCAACAAAATTAACATGGACAGCTTTCCACCATGCTGTTTGATAAGCGTGATGATTTTTCAATTTCTCTATTGTGAATTTTCCATTTCTGTATAGCTGTACTCGTGCTCCACCAGCCTATGGTCTTTACGTATCGATATTCAATGGCCTGTCCTATTATTATGAGTTTCGGACACACTCGTAACACTGGGTTTCAAAAGTTGATGAAAATTATGGGGAAGTATTACGGTCGTCATAAAGATCTTGCTGGGAAATGTTTTATTCCGTTATGAAGCTTGACGTGTTTGATGCTCGTTAGTTTGTCGTTTGGTTCCGTTGTTGTACACCTTGTTCTTATTTGAGAACGTGATATTACTTACATGGATTGATCAAGGTTTACATGGCGGGTGTCGTCGATGAAACTGAAGACGCTTAGTCCTCCGGAACACCTGGTCTTGCTCTACCTTTACTTTTTCGAGAGTATCCGTGTAATCTTTCTTTTATTCTTAGTTTGTCTTAGTTTTATTGAATTTGAGTTACGATATGATTATGTTCACATGTTAGTAAAATAAAAACAAAATAAAAACTTAATATGCTCTCAGAATTTTGTTTTGCTGTTTGCGTTGACGATTACGTCACCCCTGTTTTCAATACAATATGACTATTCTATTGAACTCATTCCAACGATGTGAATTAGGATTTATTTTCTATTCCTGTATAGAAGTGTATCATACAGTGCGGGTAACTACATGTTTTATGACCTACAGTGAAAATGTGTAGGTTACCAGTAAGTCTTAGTCCCGGGCTGCCATTCTTCAATATCCCATTCAAGGCAATAAGCATTCGACTTAGATATATCGATCTCGAACACGTACAGGTAGAAAGGCAGAATTCTGTTATTAAGTCATGGAACGTTTATTCAAAAGATTCATTACTCATGATAGTCTTTGTTATACGTAATTCATACGCGTCCCGAGGTCATTTTTTTTTTTAGAAAAGAAATTCTATATTGAGAATGAAAGGACGTGGTGTGACATTGAAGACTTTGTATTGATTTCAGCAATAGTGTAACAGAAATAACCTTTTCCGTTTATTTGTTTATGCAGATGTGAATTGCAATGCACCGAATGGTGTTCAAAACAGCGTCAACAAGACGACATTTGCGCATGTGCAGGGAGTATTTACTGTATCGTCGACTGTACAATTCACCTGTGAGGAAGGACACGAGTTCTACCTGGATAACACCACCACCAGGAACGTCACATGTGGAGATGACTATGCGTGGCATGGAGATCTAGGCGACCATTGTACAAGTACGTCGATTTATCATGCTACACAGAAAATATCTTAATATCAAATAACAAATCTAACTTCAGAATCAAGATTTTAAAAAGAGAATCGATATAAGCGATATGGAAGTTGTCTTCTGTTTCCTTTAAGACATCGAGATGTGAATATTGGTCATTCAAAGTAAGTTGCATCACATTTCCGATGATAAAAGGTTTAACAATAACACAAATTACTTTTGAGATTCGCCCACATCTGTTTTTTTTCATACCGCAAAGAAAATACCTTCCAATAATGAAATAATGAAATGTTATCGTGTTTTTTCGTGAATGAGAGAAGGGGAGGGGGAGAGAGAGGGGGGAGGGGGGGAGTGAGAGAGGGGGAGGGGGGAGTGAGAGAGGGGGGAGGGGGAGGAGAGGGAGTGAGAGAGGGGGGGGGGGAGTGGGAGAGAGAGGGGGAGGGGGGAGTGAGAGAGGGGGAGGGGGGAGTGAGAGGGAGGGACAGAGAGAGAGAAATTGAACTTTCTTTTCCCCGAATATTTATTGATTTATGAGATTTATTGAAAACTGTTTGGAGTTCTTTCATATCCACATTCCATAAATTCTTGGATGAGCAAAAAGATAAGACAATAAGTTGTGATTGATATAACCGCAACACTAGTCGAATTTAACTTAATAATACTATAGAGATTCGACTCCGCATACATATGGCCTTCTAATTAGGCACATTGTTTTTAAGACAGTTGATTGTAGTGATATTATCATCGCTAAATTTTTTATTGCAGTTATTACTCTTTGATCAAGCAGAGACGATAACTGGATTATTTCATGCAATTTTAATTGTACAAATCCGATTCCATTGTCACGATCAATACTAATTCTCAGCAATTTAACATTATATTTTTCTCTCACTCGTCAAGCGTAATCGGCGTTTGAAGCAGTGATGAATATCAACGTATTAGTCATATTAAGGTATACAAGAAATATAGAGAAAGCGGATTAATTTTAGCGAAATGTTGTTCACTTTTAATTATTCTTGTTACATGTTTGAAGTTATCAGCTGTCCAGACTTTACCTTTCCTAATGGTACGATCAGCACAACGAATCGTATCTACAATACTGAGGTAGTCCTCACCTGTAACACTGGATTCGCCTTAGTTGGAAGTTCAACACAGGATACTATCAAATGCCAAGCAGACAAAGCCTGGAACAGCACCATTCCCGTCTGTGAAGGTAAGACGCTGTAGCTGGAAAATTTTGGATTAGATTGACTTGTTGCTAAGAAAGTGACCCTTGTCCGTCTGTCATTTAAAATTACACATCTTACTATGTCATGTTAAGACAAGCGTGTTTTTTTCCACTTTGGATTTTTTTTTTCTAAGGATACAATCTATATATTAATTTCATTCAAGCAACAATAGCAAACAACACACATCTGTATCATTTTATTACATTTTTTGTCACAGAAATAAAGAAAAATATGGATTTAATAAACATAAGATCTCGCATGAATTTTCATTCCATATTAGATGTTATTAAAATGGTCTTAGACGTAAACGCCAATGCTAACTACATTTAAAATCTTAGAGAGGATTTTAAAGTCAAGATGTGGAGAACATAACCAAATGGATGCAACTATTTTAATTCACGACGTAATGTCATTATGACATCACAATCGACTTCAGACGAGCACAGCCAATGAAACATGCATCATATTAGTGGTACATACCAATTATATTACGTTGGCGAATGCACTGAATAACAGGCGAATTATGTGATGAGAAAATCCTGTAGTGATGTATAATAGCTTTCCCAGATATTATATAAACCTGGCAGTTTTGAACAATCATAGCAGAGATAACTAGTCACTGCATTGATTTGTGGCGATTTTCCTGGTCGGATATGTCTGAAGCGAAGGTTGAATAAGGTGGTTTTCCATCAAGTGTTGTCCGTGTGTATTTCGGATTTTCTTTTCAATTTTATAAGCGAGTGTGACCACATATTTTTAAACATGTTATAAAAAGAGAATTAAATGGTCTCCCCATTAAATGGAAATATTCGTATGACAAATTTTTTCTATGTACATATTTCACTCGTACTATATCCTCTATTTTACTTCATCATTCAGAATTGTTACCTAAATTCAATACAAAAGCTACAAAGAAAATATCATCATGTCAACAGAATCTTAATCTAAACTCAGTGTCGATGCAAGTAGGGCAAAGTATCAAACAAAATAAGGATTTACACAGAAACCAGAAGTATTGGGACAATAAGACCATGTGTTCCCGAAGAGTAAACATCTTCTACTTCATTGACAATACCTACCATTTAAATCTTTGTCAATCCACGTAAGTAATATCACGTTATACAACGAAAACAACATGCAAACTAACGAGCATCAAACACCTCCAGCTTCATATCGTACAAAGAAATAGCATGTATCTCAATGAGATCACTGTGATGACCGTAAAATGTCCCCACACCCTGTGTTGTGAATTTGTTTTTCGGTTGTCAAAATGCTCTAACACTCTGACATTTTATGTTGTATTTGATGACGTGGATAGTGATCGACTGTGGAACTCCGCCTGCTATTGTTAACACTGTGCTGACGGATGGTTTACACACCTACGGAGCCAATGTTACCTACACATGTTTCCAATATATGCACTTTTTCTCGGACGTCTACAATCTGACTTCCCAATGCAGACATGACGGCCAATGGGAGCTTATCGCATCAGAATGCACGTGTGAGTACACAAAATAGAATACAATTTTAATCAATGCTACTGTTAACGTATTTAGCGATAACCTTAATACGCTAAAATAAGTTTATCATTGTATTAATTTGTCAAAAAACGGCAATACGCTTATAATTCCATTGTGCCAAATAAGTATGTTTACAATATCAGTTTCTGATAATAATTTCGGAAATATACAGCATTAATAATTGAGAAATTTGTGTCCATCTTTAACGAAAGAAACATTCTTTGATGCAAATAACTCTTACAGATACATTTGTTTTTAACGGGAACAGCACATGTCATTTTTTGACATTTGTACGATACTTCATATGTGTTGATCCTAAATTTTCTAGAATATTTCGGTATTTATCCGTTTATCACTGTATTGAATAAACCTCATTGAATCAAAATGTTTATCAGTAATATACGTTTACATCAATCTCTTGACAGTGTATATGTGTAGGGATCCTCCAACTCTCGAGCAGGCAACAATAGAACGTATTAACACATCGATCGCTACATACACCTGCCCAAAATACCATCACTTCCCTGACGGTAGTACAATCAAAACGATCACCTGCAACGAGAGTTTCGTCTGGGAAACAACAACAGAGTGTACCTACAACGGTAAGCTTTATTGTGTCTCAATGCATCTATCTCTTAGTTACACTTGACAATTATATAAATTGAGTAAATGGGCTAGTGCACCTCTCCATCTGGATTCTGACATTTCTTTCGAATGCTTCTTTGATGTATATTGCTCAGTTTCCTTCTAGATTTCAACATTTTACGCCCTTTGCATGCATCATTGACGAGTCCTAGAATGACAATCCAGCTGTATGATGAAGCTGAATTCATTTTTTGGTTCTATCTTATCCTAAATTTTACTTAAAGACGCTATTCATTTGTGTATCTTTGTACTGTCTTTAAGATAACAGGTTGTAGACACTACTGGTGGACTTTAAGTCCCCGACCTGTGTTATAACCAGCATGCCAACTTTTAATTCATTCGAATAGTGACATGGTTCAGAATATACACATGTACTCGACATTGTCCTTAAAATATCTTATATGCTATAACTATGAAACTGATTGAATTATGTGGCCAGTGGACCTACACATTTAGATTTTGTCATTTCTTTAAATCACTGGATTTTCTTCAGACGCCTCATACACTTCAAAATTTAGGACAAAACAGCTGTATGATGTAGTTTAATTCATTGCTTGACTCTACTGTTTGAACATAAATTTGTATTTAAAGATTCTATTCACTTGTGTGTCTTTTGAACTATCATTGAGAACACAAATTAAGTAGCTGATGACTTAATTTTGATTATTTTTCTCTTTTAGACACTGGAGTTATTCTAAAGGAAGCTTTAATCACTTTCATCGACTCTAAGCTTCGCCAGACATCATCCACTCTGATTGAGTCGGTACGGAGTGATAGCACTATTGAATGCGGAGACCTATGTCTGAGAAATATGTACTGTGAAGCATTTAACCATAACAAAGAACTGACAGACACTGTGAACTGTAAACTTTTTAGTAAATTGATACCTAGTGACAGTTTCTTAACCTCAGTAGATTGGCAGTATTTCCAGGTGTATGACCTAGCATATTTTCCTTAAGAAATGTCCAAAAACTGCAATAGTTGATCAATTATATATGTTATATCAAGGACAGAAGCCACAGAAAGCTTTCAGCAAGGTTGTAATGCCAGTTGTGTGTAAGAGATTATAATCAAAACCACAACATGATATCATAGGTACTTGCAATATCGAGACCATGAAACATCTTAATCATCAAGTAGGATCAGACAGGTATGGTGTCTAGCAATGTATATAAATATTGTTGGTTATTTATTTCATAATGTAGTTTTAGATAGAATAGGTCATCCTCTACATCATATATGTAGATTTGTAGATTTGTCTCTCAAATAGGGATATATCCAAAATAATTACACCAAACCTTTAAGCAAATGATGTTTTAGGGAAAACGTTAAACATACATGGAATTCCATTATAAGTACTATGTTCAAAGTACCACTTTTTGGCTGTTGATCCCAACCTCTAATGTAACAGAACCCATTCACACTTACTAACAGTACTTGAAGCTTGCTAGCACTTGTTAGGGTATTGACAAGACACTCGCGCTGAAGTTCATCATAACATGAAATTTTCGATACAAATTCTCTGCCATCTTCGCTTCCACCTTGCCTAACTACTTGTGGTTGCTAAGCTTCAGTGTTATCAGAGATGCAACTCCCCCTACGTTATCATACATCCAAAAGATATCAAGAAACAATGTTAGTCTGTACATAGAATATAACAGCGAAGAAACTTAACAAGTTGTCATACATGCAAGTACCTGGCGTTAAAGACATATGAAACTTACAAAATTGAATTATGGAGATGGTGAACCTTCTTATCTAGGTTTTCACACTTATTTTTCACGTTTTGAATTTTTGTCATTTGCCTCCTTAGCTCAAACAATGAAGACCCTTAGCATCACTGACAAGTCCATGAAGGACAAACCAGCCGTATGATGGAGTTTTATTTTTTGTTTGGCTCTACTGTATCTACCTCTAAATTGGTACTTAAAAGTTGCTATTCACTTGTGTCTTTTGAACAATTTAAGAGTAAATGGATCATTTTGATTACATATTGATTTTTTATCCAGAGAGCATTACGGTAGTCGAACTGATCAATAATATCTAACTGTAATGAAACAGTTTGATTCATTAAAACTCTTAAATTACATGTCTAAGAAACAAGGTAGTATATTTACAGTTAAATGATCTATGTTTGCTATATCTTTATCTAAGGTTTGTTGAGAAAATCATTAAAAAAAAAGAAATTTTAGTCGGCAAGTGTTAATTTTCATATTTACAAATATCATTATTCCAACTTATGCAAACCATGTTCTTGTATTTCTTTGTTTTATTTTGTAACTAAAACTCCCAGTCAGAGATATTTGTATTAAACATGAACTTCAGCAAAACTTTGTTCATTCTTAACTTTTTACTGCTCATTCAAAAATGTTTTATTTAATCTGACTTCACTTGGTTCTCATCCTAACTACACATTTTTGTGGTTTAACTACTTTTAGGTGCTCTTGATAATCTCTTTTTTCTTTTAACAACATGTATTTTCAGCCATCAATCACATCTTCATTTGTAGATTTACATTATATTGAATCAAATATTGCAGATAAATATTATTAGAGAAGCAGGAGTGTTACCATCAAAAAATAGAACTGTAGAAGAAAAACAATATTGTAAACAGCTTACTTAGTGTAGTCTTTGGTTTGATAGTTTTTACATTAAATATGTTTTAATGACTTGATAACACAATGTATTGTGCTGCAAACTTTGGGTAGGTATCTAAAAACTTTATCTATATGCCAGTAAACATTCAAATTGTGTCTAATATCTCTATTTCAAAAGTCTGCTTTGTCAGTCATCTTTGGTAGCAAAAATGTATATACTGATATGAGTATTTCCTTGGATAAATCTTATTTAATAAATAATTTTAAAGAGATCAGGCATTCATGAATCTATTTTAAAACAAGATAAAGTAGAACATACTTTTCAAATCAATTAATTACAAAACTCTGAAGCAACAATCTTAACTTTTTAATATGATATTGTAACAATACATTTTATGTGTGTAGATATTTCATCAAAGTTTCAACTCTAACTCAAATATAGTTTTTCTATAATCAATGAAAATTGATAGCCATCGTCTACATAGATCATGAATGATCTGATGATTGTGAACTTCAATCACTTTACATGAAAATGAGGTATAACCTTTTACACAGATGCTAAGGTTTCTTTCAATAACAAGATAATGCCATCAGATGTTAAATCAATACCTCTAACTATGTGTATCTTGTGACATATCTACACCTGATGCTTGAAAAGTTCATGTCTTGTAATTGCTGATAGTGATTAGGTTAATCCACATCATCCTTTCACAGGCACAATGTTACAACTGTATAACAAAACAGAATAATATTAGATTTCAAAAACCTCAGTTTTGATCTTCAGCAATATTGATATCTTGGTTTCCAAATATTTCTTTTAAGTAAGTCTCCAATTTCAGTCATCCAGAAAAATACTTATTTCAGAAGAAAAAGTCATATAAAAAAACCCTTTTTCCTAAATGCGATACACTGACACAAATAGATCAATTTAACAATAATTCAACCATTACTGAGACTAACACTTGAAGCATAGTTAAAATGTCAGCAAAATGAGAAAATATGAATCAGAAAAAAATGCATTATCAAGTGGCTGTTCTACATGTTTCGAACTAGATATCTCTATATAACAAGGACTCACCCTAATAATCCACGACCACTCCAGGTTTTTGGTGTCAAACTTAATGGTGTATCTTTCATATTTCTTCTCACAATCACTTTCAATGGATTCTAAAAGATAAGAAAAGTCCCATGGGTTTTAACAATCATCTGGCTATAAAGATTTATTAAAGAAAAGCCTAAGATAAATTGCTGAACTACTCCACAGCTTACATAGAAGATATTGTTGGTTCATCAATCCTTTTTCTGCAAAGTTGATATCATATTCTTTATACATGCTTTTCACAAATGCCATTATTCCAGACATATTGCTTGTTGAAAAAGCAAGCTATGGGCCCAATACCATGACCCTTGGCCTTTCGGTTATTGAGAAGAAGTTGCTTAAACATTTCAACACAATTGACACCTGTGAGCTTGAAAGTCGGTCCAATATATCACCCTGGATCTTTTGGTTATTGAAAAGAAGTTATTTTAACATTTTAACACATTTGATACCTGTGACATTGAAAGTGAATCAATGCCATTCATATTGACACAGTTGGTAGCCCTACATCCCAGCATGCCACAGGCCTAATATCATCATCCCTTGGCCTTTTGATCATTGAGAAGAAGTCATTTAAAGACTTCAATATATTTGACCTTTAAAGTGGACTATGGTCAATCATATTAACTAGGAGTTGAATCAACTTTCTGAATTTGAGAAATGTTTTTTCCACTCTCAAATTTGGTTGAAATCCATTCAAGCATTAAAAAGGAGTAGCGCTTTGAAGAAAAATATTGTCTTATTTTCCCTTTTGGGGCTCCCACCCCCAAATGCCTAGGGGTCCAATCAAATTTCTAAATGTAAGAAATAATAGCCTACCTTAACTGATGAATCAGGCCAAATCTTGCAATCCTTCCAGAATGAAGAAGGGGAAGGGTTTTAAATCTAATTTCAGCACCTCCCCTTTGGGGCCTGGTCCCTGTTTTTTGCTCTCATATTTGCTCTTTTGTCAGCCATTTAGTTTTTATCAATAAGTCCCATAATTTATAATGCACAACAAGGAGATCTATATATGAAATAAGAAATTTTACATCCTGTAATTCACAAGAAATAATGATAATGAATGGCACTTCTACTTACGTCTTTGCTATGCTGGACCACTGATGCAATGTTCTGCAGCGACTGGAATTTACTAGCAGTGATCGAACCAAACTGTACAATAGCATCGCCAACTTTCAATCCCTGACAAAGGATATATGTAAAATATTAGAAGGCAAGTCTGTTGTTAAAACCATCAATGAAGTCACGCATGGTTATAAGATTTCTCCACACTTGTTTATGCGTCCTTATTTTCCATATTGTGTATCTGGTACTTCAATGTGATTGTGTAAATTATAAACCATAACATTGAGCCAATATTTGAACCTGTATAAGGAATTATGACAACAAACTGGCCAATGCAAAGTTTACAATTATATATGGAATTGTGAACATAAGAAATACTAAAGGTGAAACAAAATCCTATTTCCCATTAAGAAAAATTTTAAAAATAGATACATTTATTCAACTCACCGCCTCTGATGCTGGGGAGCCCTCATCAACTCTGTCCACCTCAGCAAAGGGAGACAACCTCTCTGCCAGGGCTTGTGCTTGTATACACTCATCATCCTCATTGTTTTCCATAACTTCACCTTTCTCCTTGCGAGCTTCAGCATGGATTTTATACAGCTCTTCTTCGATCTCAGCCATCAATGATTTATGATCATTCTGTAAGCCTATTTAGAAAACAGGTACAGTTTGAGCTGACAATCATAAATAACACTGACAAGAAATATATGTAATATATGTATTTGAAATTCTCTTAAAAATTTGAATCCATTTTTCTATGCAAATATGTTACATAATAATAACAATATAATATTAATTTTTTATACATAACTTTTCAATTCAAGATTTTTTTAAAATCAGATTGAACAATTTGGTTCCATAAGATACAATGAAATTCATACATTTATTATGATTACAATGTACATAATTGGTTTTGCATCAACTTTATATATACTGCATACAGATCTAGTATATATATTTATACAGTATATATAAATGTATGTCATGTAGGTTTAGGTGTGACATTTTGGTGACTAGTAGAGTTCGTACTTTGTCACCAATATCTGTCGAGGGGTGAAAAACAGAAAAAAGTCTCCAGATTTTTGGTTATATGTTACGTTCAATCATGTAGAGCATTATCATGTTCATTTTCTGCATTCCATAATCGAAGTAAAGTTGATACTACTTTACAATGTACATGAAGATATAAAATGTTACAGATATCAAAATGATGTAAACAAACTCACAGTTAGTGTTACAAGCAAGACACATCCCCTGGCGTGCCATAATTAGCTTTTTTGAAGCAAGTTACCATCTGGAAATCTATTTTTAGCAACAGTGGCCTTCATGGTTGACTTTTTGACCATGAACACAATCCCCAACTAAGTCTCCTACTAAACTATCATTGTTCAAGTTTCAACCTAATCAGTCATCCCTAACTCATGTTATCATCTGGAAACCAAAAATCTGTTTTAAGCAACAGTGACCTTTGTTGTTGACCTTCTGACCCCAAACATAATCCCACACTAGCTCTCTAAGTATACTCAGATTGTATCAATCAATTAATTTAATTGGTTATCATCTGGAAACCATCCGGACAGACAGACCACAACAACCACTACAGTCCCCTCTGGTTTCACTGACAGGGAACTTAAAAAGAAAGCATGTTGTTATAAAGTCAATGTCATATCACATGTAGACATTTTTCACTGATTATCTTTTGTTGTAAACAGATCTCTTCTCACATCTGAACAGCCTATGATGTGTCACATACAAAAAAGAAAAAGTAGTAACTCCACATGGTATATTGATGACTCAGATAAAACCAAAGTATTCTGGATCAATGGTTCATGATCTGTTCTCAAGAAAATTTTGCATCCATGTTTCTGTATTAAAACTCACATATGACCTGGTGCCTCGCATGCCTAACAGAGTAGATGTCAATGTCTGACCGTGGGAATCCTTCTTTATCAACCAGGGGCTCCTTCATACCAATGCCCTGTTGCTGCAAAAAAAAGGAGAAGAACATTTATTTTAAAATCAAAATAACATTGGAACATTTCGCCAACCCTTGAGAGTATGTGACTCCCAAACATTAGTTCTGTCTCTTCATTGAAGTGATATGTTTATTTCACATACAATGTATGATTTCTACCTGTATGATTTGTGATATCACTTCAAAAATTTTCAAATGTCAATTAAAAGGTTAACAGCATGTCCTATAAACTGAATTCTATGCAATGGTCATCATCCTTAAAAATTGAAACTTTATCAACTTTGGCAAGAATTAACTTAACTGAGACAAAAACAGCATCCCATATGATCATCATCAAAGATGACGCATTCTCGGCATCCATTGGCTGTCAAGCTTATTGCTAACAATCCCCTGGGTTATATTGCGATAATTTCTGGTGTACATGCAAAGTTTTCCTTCTTGCACTGACTAATCAGAATAAGCAACACAGAAAGGTTTTCCGAACCTGATGTGGACCAAAACTTTAAGTGTTGCTTGGTTCATATAACTCAGTTTTATAGTGATAAGGTTATTAATTAATAATTATCATTATCTAAAATGCTGTATAAAATATACCATCAAAAATGATTTACAGAGATTATTTCTTTAAAATTGTACTTCTAGATTATACTTGATTCCAAGGAAAAGCACATACAATCTGCAATGCTTCTCTGTATGTGGTATATTGTTAGGTAGACTGTCAAGAAATTCAAAATTCACATCTGAAGTTAGAAATGAACAAAACAACAGCACAGAGTTAGATATAGTCTGTGAAAACAGTAAAGATATATTTCTTTCACGAGAGATCAGAGATAAAACATTTTATTACTTTATAGTGGAAGTTTCATCTTAATAAGTTCTGTATAATTTCTTTTTTAACAGTAATCAGTATACCTGCAAGTCTATGAGTTGATTCATTATGCAATATTTTTTTTTTGCTTAAAAACCTCCACATTTCCTTATGCAATATTTAGAGACAGATCCCATTGGACAGTGATACAACATCTTTTCCTTTCCCTTTAAAATGTGAATTCCTTAGTATCTGTTTGCATCTTGTCTACATTAGGTATATTGTGTGCAGGCGAACGTGATGATCAGAGGGGATTAGTGGCTACACCACCCTATGACACTAATTAGTGAATTCATCTGAATATGATAGCTTTATGGTCCGATATCACCTGTAATACAGTTGAAATACAGGTTCTTAACAGAGGCCACCTTTTTTCATTTGCTTAATTACAAATACGAAAACCTATCTGAAAGAGTTAAGAGAGAAACTGTAATAAATCATATATGACAATATTTCTTAATAAAGCACTGTGTTATAAAATCAACCAATCACTTTCATGATCATAGGTCATGGTATTCATTAATAGCAGTCTAGCAAATAAATGAAAATACTTTCGACGATCAATAATATACATTAACAATATTAATATTTAGTGTAAACCAGTGTTATAGGTCTCCGGGTAAAATTTTTATATTTTATACAACATTTTCACTCCAGACTTATATTCATCTAAGTATCCATAGATTATGTATAAGGATAGAGAATCCATCTGAAGACAGAACCACCTGGCATCAGTAACATCAAGATGTATGAAGGTATTCTTATTCTGAACACTCAGTGACTGACGGGAAAGGCAATCTGACAACTGTGAAAGGGCAGTGACAACCTAGATAAACAGGAGACAGCCAGGAGAGACTGAGCACTTGGGCATTTAAATTTAGCACACCTAAACACACTTTTGTGAGAAGGACCTACTTTATTTGCTAGGGACCAAGATAAGGGTAACAAGATACTACCGCCTCCCACAAGAGCAGGGAAGGACGACAACAGACAGGACTCAATGGATACAACCTAGGGCCAAAAAAGGACACAGATATTGAATATTGATACAATCATGAGCAGTTGAGTGTGCAGTTGCAGTAAAGTGTGCAAGAATGAGCTAGGGCTGAAGATCCACAGAGGCAAGATGGGCTGTGCAACAACTCTGAATCAGGCACAACGCACATATGAATCTGGTCAGATGGAGGAGGAGATCCAGGACAAACACCACAGTGATCTCAGCCTCTTTGAGCCTAAGGAGGAGGAGGAGGAGGAGGAATGCAACAGAGAGGATGAACAATGCATTAATTGTGCATGATAGGGAAGAGGAGCAGAGACGATACTCCAACACCAACATTTAGGACAGTGTTGCAGGAAGGTGAAATGACCATCAAACACATTATCATGGAAGCAGTTCGACAAGGACGTGGATATTATACTCAACACCACATTAGCTGGCAGTATGGACAGGAAAATGGAGGCAATGATAACAATCATTTTTTAAATCGGTATGGATAAGTTTGGACTGGAAAAGCAAGGAAACTGCAGGAACAGAGCAAATAGAGATTGCCATGAGGAAAGCATAACCACCATCAAGAGGAATCTCAGGGCTCTGGCAAAGCAGTTCAAGAGAGGAAATGAGAATGAGAGGATAGGCTATTGGAGTTGCAGACCATTATGAGGGGAAGTCTGCTGATTCTGTGCAGGACGAATAGGAGTAGATGTTGAAGGAAAGACAAAGTAAGGAATAGGGCTTTGTTTACAGCAAATCCATACCAGTTTACAGCAAGATTGACATGCAAGTGAGAGGAAGTGGAGAGGTACCCGAGAGAGATGTTTAGTGAATCATGTTGTGAGGAAGATCTTGGAGATCTGACATTCTGTTGACACCAGATAATCCAATATTTATGTAAGACACCAGTGAACCTAAGTACATGGAGGTTACATCGGTAGTTTGAAAGGCAATAGCGGCATCAGCCCCTGGGACGAATGGTATCCCATACAGAGTGTATAAGAATTGCCCAAGGCTTACAAGTTGATTGTGGAACTTGTTTCAGGTAGCGGGGCAGGGAGACAGTGATCACATGGGCATGTATGAGGTTAAAGCCATCGATATCCAGAAGTTTAGTTTTGAAGAATAGAAAGCCAAGGGATGACAAATTCAGGAGTGAAGGCAAGACAATTCCAACTGTCTCTGATAAACCGATCAAGTGCCTTATTAAGCGATTTGAAAGCTGCATAATACTGTATATTCATCACTTGATGAAGCTGATAAAAGTTCATTATGCTGTGTGTCATTTACATTTTATATATCTGCTGTACTAGGGTTAAGTCTAATGTCCTCCTTCTTCTAACAAAATTTACTGTAATGTTAACCAGTGTCAAGATATACAGTACCTTCCAACAGGAAGCTACATGTACTACTGTAATTTGCCATTGAGTAATTGTTATGCATCTAACACTAGTTAGAAGGGTTCTGATTTGTCTTGTAGCAATTTGTTTTTTTTTTTTTTTAAATTTTTGTCTCAACACAGTCGATAGATTCAAGATTGTCAGAACCCTTCAAACTAGTACCACAGAAGTCAGATGTGTCCTATCTCTACCATTTTTAAAAAATATTGTCTACTTCTATGAATATTGACCTATACTATTTCAACTACATGTAGCTGAAAGTTATGTCAGAGTTCTGCATAGCAAAATGAGGTGGAAAAGGACATACATATTGCAAATTACACACATATATGTTTAACATTGAAATTTCTGTGTACAATGTATCACAAACTATCACTGTCTGCATCCCTGGAACATGTTCTGGTAAAATTGAAGGCACATGTGAATTAATTTGCTTTGTTCCAGGAGTACAAAAAAAATGACCAATCACAAGCTGACACACTCCAACCTCAAAGCAATTAAAATATACCATTATGTTACCTCGAAATTGATTTAATGTTCACCAAAGTATCGTCTCGACACCTGTATGGTGCATAACATCATTCAGCGAATCCATTTCAGTCCTGTATCTACTCTATATATCAGTACTGAGGATTACCTGGTTACAAATACGTTTCGTTGTCACATTTGCGCTACATTTATACTAAAGCGTGAATTTCTAATTTATTCGACAAAACAGTTGTTCAAACACTTACAGATTCAAGGACATCATTCAATGCCTTGATTTCAGCTTCAAGTTCTGTTTTTCTTTTCATTAGGTGATTCATGTTTTCCATGGAGGCTGCCATCTTGAATAATGTTAATATCCGGTTTTGAGCTGGACTTAAAATGCGGATTTTGTAATACCTGATATATCAGTCGTACAAAAGTAACACACTTAAAGGTGTCAAAGACTCTTAAAATCGTTATTTACGAAGATAAAACTTCAAAAGCAATAAAATCAAAAACTACATCTTTATCACGAAAAAGAGTACGACAGGAAGATTTTACTTCAATAAGTCAATCAACGATCCAGTAGTGATTTTTTTCATGAGTTTTCAGCCTCTACTAGAGCGAGTCGTTAAAATCCTCATGAAACGGAAAATTTTAAGAATATTTGAATACATAATTATGCATTACAGAGGTTAAATTTCACTTCATCATATTCGTCAGATCACGAATTAATTTCTCGTTAAGATTTATGATTAACATTTATCAATAGCAATCAATAAATTAATTATTCTATGTTAACTATTTGCTTGGTTGTGGCACCATCAAACCATGTTTTTAAGTTTTAAGCAACAAGTCCGTAATTTGTTTTCAAGTCTAATATAATGATATATAATGTACTCAATACGATACTAGCACCCCAGCAGAATTAAATCGTCCTTATTTCTAGTTTTGAAAGTCAGCAATATCAGGTCAAATCAGAAACGTATTTCTATTTTTCCTAGTTGTTTCAAATGTTAGAAAATGCATGTTTGTACCAATATTGATATTTGATTACAATGACTGTATAAGATAAGATAAGTTTATGCTTGTGCAGGACTTAATCAGTCTTCTATACAAGACTCATACACAACAAATAATAAATATTTTTTTCAATATATCTATCCGGTCTTGTACTTTGATGTCAATATTCGATTGTTGATTTGTAATTAAAGAAAAGTTCTTGTTTTTTCCGGTGATTATCAAGCCTAGTGTTAAATGAATTTACAGCTGAAACAACGTTTTCTGACAGACTATTCCAAATCGACACAGTTCCTTACTGAACTTTTCATCATGAAGAGATAAAGAACTTTCATACTAAACTTTTTCAATATTTTTTATATCTTTGTACTTGGTCGTTAATTTACGTCTACCCGTTTCTACATCTGTTAGAACTGCTTTGGTGTGTAACAAATCAGTTACTATTGTTCTCAAGCATGTATTTTCAGGATGACACTCGAGCTCTCCCCTGATCAATGTTTTGTTATCTAATTATGTACCGAGGCAATAACGTCATCTCCTGTTAATGGTTTAGTGTATGTGTTTCTTTAAACCGGAAATGGTTTACTTATATTTCCAGATTTCTTTACCCTGGGTAACACCTCTTTTGCGTCATTAATCTCTGTTATTGACCTGTCTACATGTTAGTACGGACAATGGTCAGCTCCTTTATACATATTCGTTTTGGAGACCTATCTGGTAGTTGGATTACCAGTCAGCAAAGGGACAACACTACGGATTACCGAGTGCGATTAGAAGTATGCCATTCCATTTGACTTATAAATTTAATATAGTTTGACCTCCGACTATGAATTTTATTTATACATCGGAGTACCAATATGTACGGCCTTAATTATCACCACTCGCGAAATTGTCATCATATTGTGATTTACAAATTAAAAATAAAACTCCTTGAAGAATAATAACCATTACCACAAATGAACTTTGACCTTTTTGTTCTGTATCTCATCACACAATATTCCAGAAAAATCGTAACGAATGTAACACAGAACAAAAAACCGTATCAAAATTGTCTCGAAACGTGCTTTTCACAACGTATAAATTGAAATTTTCTGTACGGTGATTTTATTTTCTGTACGGTGGTTTTATTTTTGAATATATTGAATTGAAAATTCTGTATCAATTGGAGTTAACCCTGCTTTGTTTATATACCGTTAAAAAGTTCATAACAACCTTTTCAAAACAAACAGTAGAAATCTCAATTCTAAATTTGATCTCGCATACTTTTGTGACAGATATTTTCTGTTTATTTAGATGTTTTTTTTTTTTAACAAAACGCGTGTTCAGTGAGCTATTCGCAAATGAAATATCATCCTATATCGAAGAGAGTAATTTGTAAATCTGCGGCACTAAAACTGTAAATAATATTCCGTTTTGCCAATGTATTTTTTATGATTTGTCGTTTTAATTTATAAGAATTGTTTTTGTAACGAACATGAGATTCCCTTTTCACTGCTCGACAAATTGGCTCTGGTCAGACCGGTCAATGCAAAGACAGCGTTATATTTTGTAGTGAACGGAGCACATGTAATTAACAAATGGACGGTTTTCACAGCTCAATGAACAAACACAAAAGCTAACACCAGGCTTCCCTCTCTAATATGCCCCTGGGCAAAATGCCTGTTTTTTATTTAGAATCCGAGACTTACATATTTCTGTTTGATCATGTCTGATTGGGAGGGAAAAGGTACCATTTGATAAGATATGTTTTGTCAGGGACGTATAATAATATAATTTGTATTATACGTCCCTGGTTTTGTTCAAATTGTAGAAACAATGTAACAATAATGAAATTTGGAAACTGCCACACGTAACACCGCCCGAGGTGTGAAAGTTAACTGCCATGTGGTGTATACCAATTAGTACCTATGTTCTGGACACGTGATGAGCCAAGTGGTATATGGGGCATTTCGGGATTGACGTAGACAAACGTCTGAAATATGAGCTGTGCACAGATAATGACAATAATGCTTGCCTGATTCGTCATTATTGTTTTATTTAATGTAAGTGAATCGGTCAATATATATTTATACCAATGGTTACAAATATCAGTCGTAAACTGTACATATGTCTTTGAAATTGTATTGTGTATACGAACGGAATGTATAGTGACAAGCTTATATATAAATGAATGATGTAAAAAAAGACGAAAAGATTAAAAAAAATAAAATAAATAAATAAATAACAGAGACATAAAAATCAACTCCAGTGATTGTTGATATTCACATACTTTGAGCTATGTTTTGGTTTTAACTCTGCCGCTATGTGGAAATGTCGTTTATATTCCATTATTCATTTCGTTAATTACATATGAAATCCTATTTTTTTAAGATATCAAATGTACTTTAATAAAAAAAAAATAATATGATTATTTACTACATGTAAACAGCAGTCCGTCTTAATTACTCACCGATATATGTTCATGTTTGTCTCCAAAAAATCTTCAATTGCTAACAGGACGGAACACTACTTACTCAGATGTGGTACTTGTGATTAATTGTTTTTTATCTCCTAACTTATAATGATGCACTTTCTCTCTATGCACCTTTTGAGAGAGAGAGAGAGAGAGAGAGAGAGAGAGAGAGAGAGAGAGAGAGAGAGAGAGATGGTAACCCCTGGAGTATGGAAGGTCGTTCCAGGAGTACAGAGAGAGGAAAGGAACGTAATACCTGGAGTATGGAGGATAAAATATATCCTCTAGCTCTAGTCAAGCTTAACTGTCTATATCTGTACGAGTTACCTCACTTGCATCAGTAATTGTTCTCTTCGGTCCTTTTGGTTAGTGGCGGAGTGTTGTGTAACTCGACAGAATGTTGGTTAGTGGCGGAATGTTGCGTAACTCGACAGAATGTTGGTTAGTGTTGCGTACCTCGACAGAATGTTGGTCAGTGGCGGAGTGTTGCGTAACTCGACAGAATGTTGGTTAGTGTTGGATAAATTGACAGAATGTTGGTTAGTGTTGGATAACTCGACAGAATGTTGGTTAGTGGCGGAGTGTTGCGTAACTCGACAGAATGTTGGTTAGTGTTGGATAAATCGACGGAATGTTGTTTATTGTTGGGTAAATTGACAGAATGTTGGGTGGTGTCAAGTAGGTAGTCAGGAGTGTTGGGTAGGTCAGGAGTGTTGGGTAGGTCAGGAGTGTTGCGTAGTTAGTCAAGAATGTTGGGTAGAGTTAAGTAGGTAGTCAGGAGTGTTGGGTAGGTCAGGAGTGTTAAGTAGGTAGTCAGGAGTGTTGGGTAGGTCAGGAGTGTTGCGTAGTTAGTCAAGAATGTTGGGTAGAGTTAAGTAGGTAGTCAGGAGTGTTGGGTAGGTCAGGAGTGTTAAGTAGGTAGTCAGGAGTGTTGGGTAGGTCAGGAGTGTTGGATATTGTTGGGTAGGTAGTCAGGAGTGTTGGGTAGGTAGTCAGGAGTGTTGGGTAGTGTTGGGTAGGTCAGGAGTGTTGGGTAGGTAGTCAGGAGTGTTGGGTAGTGTTGGGTAGGTAGTCAGGAGTGTTGGGTAGTGTTGGGAAGGTAGTCCGGAGTATTGGGTAGTGTTGGGTATTTAATGAGGAGTGTTGGGTAGTGTTGGGTAGGTAGTCACGAGTGTTGGGTAGTGTTGGGTAGGTAGTCAGGAGTGTTGGGTAGTGTTGGGTAGGTAGTCAGGAGTGTTGGGTAGTGTTTGGAAGGTAGTCAGGAGTGTTGGGTAGTGTTGGGTAGTGTTTGGTAGTGTTGGGTAGGTAGTTAGGAGTGTGGGGTAGGTAGTCAGGTGTGTTGGGTAGTGTTGGGTAGGTAGTCAGGAGTGTTGGGTAGTGTTGGGTAGGTAGTCAGGTGTGTTGGGTAGTGTTGGGTAGGTAGTCAGGAATGTTGGGTAGTGTTGGGTAGGTAGTCAGGAGTGTTGGGTAGTGTTGGGAAGGTAGTCCGGAGTATTGGGTAGTGTTGGGTATTTAATGAGGAGTGTTGGGTAGTGTTGGGTAGGTAGTCACGAGTGTTGGGTAGTGTTGGGTAGGTAGTCAGGAGTGTTGGGTAGTGTTGGGTAGGTAGTCAGGAGTGTTGGGTAGTGTTTGGATGGTAGTCAGGAGTGTTGGGTAGTGTTGGGTAGTGTTTGGTAGTGTTGGGTAGGTAGTTAGGAGTGTGGGGTAGGTAGTCAGGTGTGTTGGGTAGTGTTGGGTAGGTAGTCAGGAGTGTTGGGTAGTGTTGGGTAGGTAGTCAGGAGTGTTGGGTAAATTGACAGAATGTTGGGTAGTGTTTAGAGGGTAGTCAGGAGTGTTGGGTAAATTGACAGAATGTTGGGTAGTGTAGGTTAAATCGGCAGAGTGCGT